TGACTGTCACTTTCCATCAGGAAAAACGCTCCAGCTCTCCCTCCCTTCCCCTTCCCTCCTCACCTCTGTTAACTGCCCCCCCCGGCCCCCGGCCCCCCCACCTCCCTCCCACAGCGCCGCTCCGGTCACTTTCCTGCCGACATCCAAGTGGCATCCAGCCAGCTGCTTGGTGTCTGTAATGGACCCGTGTGTACAGCAACACCATAGCACCGGCAGGCTAAGCAGCGTTTTGATCCTGCAAAGACCTTCACTGACTAATTACAAAAAAGCAATAGCAGAAAAAATACTCAATTATTATATGTCATTTCTGTTTATCTGTAGTTCTCATGACTTCAGATGGGGTCTTGACAATTGATTGATATCTTTTTACAAGGTAATGTTCAAACGGCCTCTTTACGTCGAGTACAACTGCAACCAGCAGTTCTAAATGTCTAAGCCAGCGGTTCCCAAACTCTTTAGGCCACGCAGCCCTTCTGGGTTCATGCACCCCCACACAGAAAAAGTCTATTTATAGCTGCATTCAAATTGGACCAATAACAGAATATTTTGCTAACGGGTGATGTTTGTTTACAATATTTAGTGCGCTGTTAAATGTTGCAGAACGAAAAAAGGGGACACTACAACATTGTATCATATTAATTCCGAATCAGGACAAACAAAAAAAACTGTATAAATACCCTGAAACACTAAAACAACGTTTCAATAAATTCCATTTATGTCACTTAAAAGGAGCAATAAGAAGACACACGCACAGGCTCAGAGGCAGATTGCATCATATTCCATTTACAATTAACTGTACATGGTGGCTAAGTTATTCAAAATTCAAAGTTACACATCGCAACTGATCATCGGAGTTTGAAATTACTTAAACACAGTAAACCACTTAAGAACAAATAGTGGCACATGCATAGTGTCAGATATGGATAAAAAGGCAGGAGTCCATCGGAGTTCACATGCAGGCTGCGAGCGAGCAGTAATCTTAGCGAGTAGGAGACGTGAGTATTAACTCTCCGTTTGGATTCTTCTTGGATTCCTCCCTCGCTCTCTGTCCCTCTTCTGTCCCTCGCGACTGTTAGCCTAAGATGTCCACCTGACAGTTTCCCCGATTTCAGCCAAGTCAGCCAAACCAAAAGTTATCCGTTACCTGCACAAACTAGGCTAACGTTAGCTAATCTGCACGAAAAAGGAGGAGCTGAACATTTATTTATTAAATTGTACATTTCAAAATGTTAATCTTACAGAAAGGGTAGCAAGTCATGTCTCTATTTTGTGTAAAACCCATATTGATTTTTTTACAAATTATATTCAATATGAACTATTACTCCATTTGATGTTTCCTCTCGCGCACCCCCCAGAGGCCGGTTGCGCACCCCAAAGGGTGCCCGCACCACACTTTGGGAATCCCTGGTCTAAGCCAGAAGAACAGAGCTAAGAAAAACTCAAAACATCAGCAAACATCACCGCGCTGCTGCTGCGTGTACACGTGCACCACTTGTAGACACAAATAAAAGCGCCTGGTTCTGCGTGGTTTGCACAAATCGTGTTACGTCTTAACGGATCTGCTCTAGGGAGCCTTCGGCCTCCACTCTTTACTCATTCTGCTTTCCTCTGACGCAGGGTGGATTTCACAGTCAGAGCTGATGCAGAGCGCCCGACCTTTAGCACGTACGTAGCAGGAATACTTTTTCTACAGCCTTCTCCCACAGACCACCAAAAAAACGTCCCCCCACACATTTACTACCTGCTAAACTACATTCAAGAAGAGCACTCAACGCAATCGAACAATCTGCAGTTTCCAGGCGGCATGGAAACCGCAGCTACTGTCGTTTGTCAGCTTCGGGCAAAAACAGACATGAGAACACGACAATTTCTTCTTTGTTTTCCGGTGTTTTCCAATGTAATTAGTCAGGGACGGCTGTTAGTGGAGGGAAATGGGCCGGGGGGAGAGGAGGTTCTCACGCCTGTGGAAGCAAAACAGACAAAAGCCCCACTCCGGCAACGCAGCAGCCAACGGCCGCTGATAGGGTTTATCTCTGCAGTCACACACGGGCCATCTCTAAACCGTGCACACCGAGCAACAAACACAAACGGGCCAGAATAAGACGCGCACTTGCACCCTAAACGCAGTCTCTGGGATCTTGAGTTGAATTCAAGTTAAGAAAAAGATAAAAGTAACTATAATGATACTGCAGCTATTATTCTAAGAAAATAATATCATTATAATATATTTCAAGCCTTGCGGGTGTTTCCCTTGGCGGCAGTTGGCCGACATCTGTGGGCCGGCGTTGCTAGGAAACGAGAAGTCAACTTCTGTGGTGCGCCACTAGATGTCATAGCCTGTATCGCCTACAGAATGAGAGCAAAGACGTGTTTCCCTTTTCTCAACAGGCCAGCATCGTGACGAAAAACACAAACGATTTAAACCTACGCTGAGGGTCAATAAAACAAGCTGTAATCCCTCAACAACTGTGATTAAAATCACAACACAGTAACATACTGGGTAGAGGAATTAGGTAGAAGTAGAAAGAACTTTAATAAAAGACAAACAACAATGAAATGACCCTCAGCTGGTGTCAGTCTTCTGAAGAGTCTCCTTTTTAATGTAAAGCACTTTGGTCTACAGCGGGTTGTTTATTAACTGCGCAACGTGACTTGCAGAAACATGACTAAAGCATCATGAGAAAATAATATCATTATAATATATTTCAAGCCTTGTAGGTGTTTCCCTTGGCCGCAGTTGGCCGACAGCTGTGCTCCCCGGGAAAAATGTAAAACAACATGCGTTAAAAATGCATTGTAAGTCGCTTTGGATAAAAGTGTCAGCTAAATGACATGTAATAACCAACAGGACGTCTTCATGTTAAGAACAATATTACATTTTTTATGTTTGAAAACTGATTTAATTATGAACGCACACTTGCTAGTCTCTAGTCACCTCTCCATCTTAAGAGGTAAACGCATCAAATCTCGGCAGCAAAAGCCGGCTCTGCAGTGTGGAATCCATCATACAGGCCACAAGTGTCGGTGTGTGATCGAGATGGCACATAATCCCACGTGTTTTGCTATGGGAGTGGGTGAAGTGAAAGGGGATCAGTCCACGGCTGTGTTTAGAGGTTCAAACGCCCCCCTGGGGAGCAGAACGGATCGATCGCCTTTGGCTGGCAGCCACTTCTCTCTCTGCCTCCAGCCAGATATTTATCCACACTACGAGCCTCGAAATCCCTCCGTCATACTTTATATATAAAAGCACTGGGCTTCACCACTTTGCCGCGGACTGGTGTTCTAGCCAGTAGTCTTATTATGGACTCCACACTGATGAAACGCAGATGTGTTTTGGGCCGCTCTTCACAGAGAGGAGCCCTCCCACATGGCCTGTGCTGCGTACGTTGAGGTTATGAAGGTCTGATTAGAGGGAACCATGACGACAAACAAAAAGCTGCCGTCTCATTAGTCGGAGTGACTCTGCCTGCTTTCCACCCACAGGAGCTCCTCCCTAAGCCACACAGGAGTTGCAGAGCACCCCCGCACAGCCTGCAGGGACAGCAGGCAGACTGCACCCCCCCCCCCCCCCCCTCCAATCAGCAAACTCAATGATGTAAAAGAAACAAGAATATAGAAATACACAAGGGACACCAAAGCACACTCGACTCACTTTCCAGCTCTTGCCAAAAAGCAAAAAAAGCCTCAGAGGACGAGATCACAGGCTCGGAGACAAAATGGGCTTCCCCGCAGGGACACTCGGTAAGCCTGCAAGGGAGCGAGTGCCTGTGGGTGACCGGGAGATAGCGAACATCTGGTGCAAAACGGATGTATCACAATCCACGCTAAAACAAACTGTTGGTGTGACAACATCTGTACAGCCTGGGAGCGAGGCCTCGTGGGAGCTCGGGTCGATGGCTGTGGCCAGGTAGGGATCTGCTCATGTTAGGGGGCAGGATACGAGTGTCTTTACAGAGGCAGAGAGGAGAAGGAGGCGGTTGCCGGGTTGCTGTCCTTCAGGCAATACAGTGACAGGTTTATCCCGGCTGAGGGGGGGGGGGGGGAGCGAACGACCCAATGAGGACCGATAAACGTCAGGCCCAGCACCAGCACCGTGGTAATGTCTGACAAAGGGGCTCAGTGGCTCATCCTGCAGCCAGTCGACCCCAGACACATGCTCTGTCTGATGTCACTTCTCGGGGGGGAACACCAACGCAAAATGCAAGAATCCAGCCAGGCAGCTTTTACACTCATCTGAAACTCTGACAATGATGAAGACATACTGACATGACGTATGACTCTGCATATTCAGCATTCTAAACATTATTTCTTAATGAAGAATGGAGAAAAAAAACAACACATAACTAAAATACTTCAGGGAGCGGAGAGTCGTCCATAGCTGCTGAAGAATAGGATTTACAAAAGGCAGCATTCATCATAACAATCAACAAAGCAAAAGTTAAATTACTGGTGGCATGATATGGCCAGGTAGTTCATCCCCCGTCTATGTTGGTCCCGTGCTGTCCTGCTGAACCCAAATTTCACATACAAACGCTTCAATTAGCCCCTCGGTAGTTGAGGTATAGTGAAAGAGTATTCTTCTTCTCTATTCAGAGTGAGGGGCGGTGCACTGACCTATAGCACTTGTTTGCCCAATCAATGCACAGCCCCTCCAACATGGTGACCTTAGGGAAGGTCATGGCATTCCAGAAGCTGCAAAATGAATAATTCTCCGTTTTTGTTGCAACACCTCTAAGCTCAACCTGTGTCTCATCTTAATGAGTCCTAAAGCAGACGGGGCATACAGGATTCATTCCTCCCCCTGAAAGCCACACAACATTTGTGTTGCAAGCACATCAAGGCGGACTCCGTCTTAATCAGTCCCCAGTGTGATTATCTGTGTTGGCGGCCGCCAAGCGCAAATTATTTATGAACTCTTTCAGATCTTAGAACCACTGGGTAATCGTCCCGACAGCCCACCTCGTCCGTGTGCATGGACAGGAAACGGCCACGGCTCTTACCTGTGTCCTGTCGAAACTGGTGCATGGACTGCAGGTCGATGACGTACGGAGACAGCTGGTCATCCACCTGCCCGAGCACGACAGTCCCCCGGGCGTCCCCCTTCAGCACGTTCTCGATATGGTGGCAAACCGCTGCACTGTAGGGCCTCCAGCGCCCGTGTTCATTCATCCACTCCCAGACCACCACCCTGGCCAGGTTCTGGGGGGGGTAACCCAGCCCGTTGACGGGCAACAGCATCCCCGATCCTGGACGAGCCATCTCCTTTCAGGTGTCTGCGCTTCAGCCGCTGGCTATGTGCAGGGCTACAACAGCGCTGCCACGCTGCCAGTCCACCGGCCAACTGGAAACAGTTTCATCAGAGGCCAGACCAGAAAGAGAAGAAGCTGGAATCGGCGATTAATAAGATACTCTTCGATTATCTCGTGCTGCTCTCACGCCAAGCAGCGCTTCTGGAGTCATCTTCTACAGGTGCTTTGTCACCGCTGCTGCTCTTTGATCGCCCCAAAATCCGCCAGAGTCCTCTCGTCTCGTCGTGTTTGAAGTGGCAGACAGATGTTGAAGATGAAGATGATGACGACGATGAGTTTTGCAGCCTCAGTGCTCCAGAGCAGACCACAGCAGATCAGCAGCAGGTAGAGAGGAGACACACTCTAAACAAAAGACCAGGAACACAACCACAAATGCTGTGACTTGGTGTCAACAATAGATCACTGATTCATTACTGGCCCGTATCTCGATTTTCACGGCTTGAATTGTAGTGACAAAAGACGCACGAGCGGTTTCAGCGGCAAAATAATTGTGATGGTCATCAGATTTGTGCAGAGGGGGCAGAGCGGTGCACATGAACGGTCAGATGATATCATAATAACAGCAGGCTGAAGATAATTCGGACATTTTCGCACTAGAAAGCTGTTCGGAGGCAGTAAACGCGGAGCGACATGGTCTTTGAGGCTTCTACGGTGCGTCGGGGTATTTAATCTGACGGCTCACACATGAACGTTGCTCGTAGCACGCACGACACGCACAAATTGATTCTGGCGATATACAGACCTGTAGGCTGCAGATGTGGCGCTGGTACCACACATCTGTCAAGTAGAGGCTGCATATCACAGACTGCGGTCGAAAATCAGGTGACAAGAGGAACAGAAAGACGAGGTGAAAATCTGTAAAGATGCACCTGCCTCTTGGCAACGAGGGATTTGTGCGTTTGTTCGTATCCTCGAAGCCCACCTCCTACAGCTCCAGTGATGCTATTGCAGAAAAGGCGAGACGTCGTTTGCCCGTGGATCTGCTACGGACTACAGCAGCTTGTTGGTCTGCGGGGTTAAAGTGTATGCATGTCCCACTTGCACGGTTTTCCGCGCGCGCACCATCCCGCTGTACGCGCGCGCTTTCTGCCTTTAAGGAGGCAATACGCATCGCATGGCGAACGCAAATTACGCACGAATATCCAGTAGCACCTGTATGGTTTTTCCGCTGAAATCCTCAGTCAGTTAGATGGAAATGTAATGATACAATTTCCGGTATCTGGTTTCAAAATAAAGGCCCTCCTTATATGTGATTTCAGTGAGAACGTGTTGTGGGGGGATTATAAAGAGGTGGGCTACTGCTTGCGGCGGTTTACTAAAACAAACTAAAGAAGAAGAAAATATAAAACACAGTCGTAACCCAATTCGTGTTTTAATTCTTTCAACTTGTTATTGAGATAGATATTTTATTTTCACATTCTGATGCCATGTTTGACTATTGAAATAAGAGCGCGAATGCATTTGCTAGAAAATAATAAAACACTGTAAACAACTCTAAAACCTACATCTGGATGATGTGCATGACATTTTTAATACGTCGAAGCAGATTATTTGGTTTGATGCTTTCTAAAGTATAAAAAGAGAGGTCAAATGTCTGAATTGGAATTGTTTATATTGTGGTTAGTTGACATAAATATGTTTTACTCGAAGACAGTTCCTGCAGGCAAATATAATGTCACTGCAATTGTTAGACATAACAGGATTCTTTTCGCAATGCGAAAGCAGACAGAAAGATCATTTGGGATTGGATGCGTCGTTAGTTACCATCCATCCCTCGTCAAACCGCTTATCCTGCACACATGGTCGCGGGGGGGCTGGAGTCCATCCCAGCCAACTTCGGGCGATAGACAGGGTACATCCTGGATTGGACGCCAGCCAATCGCAGGGCTACACAGAGACATACAACCATTCACACATCTACGGGCAATTTAAAGTCCCCAATTAACCTGATCCCCAGAGCATGTCTTTGGACTGTGGGAGGAAGCCGGAGAACCCGGAGAGAACCCACGCAGACACGTGGAGAACATGCAGACTCCACACAGAAAGGCCACTGGGCGGAGTTGAACCCAGGACCTTCTTGCTGTGAGGCAACAGTGCTAACCACCACGCCACCGTGCCGCCCGTCGTTAGTTACCTAAATTGTTAATTATTCATTTACAAGTAAAATAAGCCTGAGCATATTTTATTGTTAGATCTGTATCTGTTTTTGTTCAAAAGAATGTTGTGTTTAATCTAAAGGTTTTATGCATCAATGCAAAACATATAGGCCTTACTATAATAATACGAATGTTTATACGTGATACATTATACATGTTAGTTTATGTATCTGCATTACTAACTTCTCCCTAAAGACGGTGTCATGAAGTCCACAACATCCTCGTATATTTACAATGAAATGACACGTAATGTCACGTCAAACACAACCAAGGGCATCAATTATCGGAAGAAGAGCACCACCTGGTGGCCGTTTGGTGTTAAGAACACTGAACTCTTAAAAAGTTAGTGTGCCACTTTGGGAAAACTCCTGTGAGATATTTTCACAGAGCCGCTGGTGTATAACTTTACTAATTAAGTTGGCACTATGGATTACAAAAGAGTTGCTCCTTAACCAGCCTCAATACATGTGGTGCTTAAACACAGACACACATGTATATGCATGCGCACACATACACTGCACTCAAAAGTTACCAAATTCCAAATATGCATAATGGAGCCGGATGAATTGTAGTGTGACTTTGTGTCATGTCACAGTAATTACATCGTTCACCATCTATGAAGTGCTCTACTAGTTAACAGGGCATTGCAAGTGTCAATCAAAGGTTTCTCTGGCCTGGCAGGAAAGGAGAGTGACGGGCAGAGGAGAAACATTTCCAGGCTTCAAGTAACACATTTACAATTTTTACTTATAACTAACCTATGTGGAACACTGTGGCGCTACTGTATTATTTCTATAGTATTATTAATTACCTACCTATCTTTTTCATACTATTATGCTAGTATGAATGTTAAACCTTGCACCAGGAATTTACACAATTTCTAGTTTGAACCAATTTCCCTTATAACCGTTATATATAAATAAAACTACTTATGTGCAGAAAAGCTAAGGTTTCATTAGAGGATTGAAGAATTTCTCAAATCGGACCTAAACCTTTCAGCTATAGATAAAAAAATAATGGCTTTACTCAATGCTTTACACAAATTTGCAGTAATAAGGCAAATGGCCCTAGACGTTGTAGTTTTTTTTTTAATAGTGAGTAAATACATCAAATACATTTAAATTCCATCAAATAAAGCAACATGTTGTTTAATAACATCCAAATATGCAAACATAGCGACTATTTGTTGTTTTCTCGTGAAAATGGAATAATTCAATTTTTAATAGATTGCTTTTATAAAAAATATACAGTACATTGTAATATACAAGATCATAGGATATTTCAACAGCGTTATAAGATATAACATCATTCATCATAAACACATTCTTGTGAGCAAACGCTACTGGCTTTGAATTATATTATAAACATAATTAAAAGAAATCCACTAAAACATGTTGTCAAGAATGTTGTTGTTAAATCAGTCAGTCAAGAAATAATTGTTGGTTGCAGTCGGGGTCCCAGCGTGGATGAGCAGTGCTTACAGAACAACGTATATGAACAGAGCCATAATGGCAGCGCTGATAATCCCGGAGATTGGAACCGTCACAAACCAGGCGATGAAGATGTTCCTGAACAGACGCCAGTCGACAGATTTCCTCGAGCGCAGCCATCCTACAGCCACCACGGATCCCACCTGTGTCGAAGAAAGAGTACATGCGAGTATCGGTTCAAACTGCAAACCCACTTTCGACTATCGTTCTCCGTCCCTTTTTGGAGTTTTGAGTGCCGTTACCTTGCAGTGCGTTGTGCTGACAGGAAGCCCGACGTTGGATGCCACAACAACTGTGAGTGCTGACGCTAACTCAATGCTGAATCCACTATTCCGGAAGAAAACAAGTTAGTACCCTACGACCCTCAAATATATCAGAATATTTCTTCTTCTGAAATATGAATGTGACGGATACCTGGAGGGTGTAATTGGTGTAAGGTCTTTGCCCATGGTTTGCATCACTCTACGTCCCCATACCCAGAGTCCAGCGCAGATGCCCACTGCGCCGTAAAGAAGCAACCAAATGGGCGTAGGTGCGTTGGACACCACGGAGCCGCTCTCGTACACCAGCCACAGAGCCACCAGTGGACCGATCGCATTGCTGGTGACACAAATGTGTGCATATGAGGACTCTGAGAGAAACAGCACGCACGTAAATTCCTCAGGGGAGAACCACGCCTCGCCTACCTGACGTCGTTCCCTCCGTGAGCGAAGGAGCCAAAGCACGCCGTGAGTATCTGGAGGAACTGGAAGAGGGCGGAGACGGCCGGTTGGTCAACCTCCAGCTCGTCCTCTTCCACAGCGACGTCCCCTCCGGCTTCCTGGGTCACGCTCTCGTCCCGAACTGCGCTCCCGTTGGTCACTGCTGAGCTGTAGCTGCTGTAGCTTGCCACCCTGGATCTGCCTTGCAGCTCGCCGTCCAGGTCCTTGTATTTAGGGTCTCCTTGAATGCCATAGATAGCCATGGTGTAGGAGGTGTAGCTGTTGCTCCTCTTGATGGGTCGCTCCTCCGTGTCGCTGTCGCCAATGCAGTCCCCGACCTTAGCCACGTGAAGCTTGTGCAGCAGGTCTTTGTAAAGGCCGGAATCTTTGTGGATGGCGTGAGACCGTCCACTGTGAGGGTCGGTGATCATCATGGGGCCAACGTTGCCATTTTGGCCTGTGAAGATTGAAAAAAAAGTCAAATTCATAACCAGTGAGGTCAACAAAAACCAGGTTGGTTTACAAAGTTGAATAAAGCGTAAATTGTTTTTTTCATTTCAACCTATTTATTTATCACCATTACTGAAGTCCAAGTCTTTGGTTTCCATGTCATGGTTGTCCAAACCAGCTTCTTCTGAGCCTCCAAGTTTGAAAGCCACATTCTGGCTGTCTGCATGTGGAGTTTGGTGTTGAGGGTGTTGAAGGTGTTGAAGGTGTTGAAGGTACTGAGGGCGTTGAGGGCGTTGAGGGTGTTGAGAGCGTTGAGGGTGTTGAGGGTCCCGAGGGGCTGAGGGCGGCTCTGCTGGCGCACGCTTGATGGGGGTCTCCTCCATTAGGGGAGTTTCACAGGGAGCTGCAGCCGTTTCTCCTGAAGTAAAATACAACGTTTCAAATGCTATTTTCTGTTGTTGTTTATTGCACAAAAAAGCATTACATTTGTTTTGATGGGGTCTAAAATAAAGACTTAAATTAACTCACGTTTGATTTTCTTCTTCAGGACGGGACAGACGACGAACCAAACAACCAAGGCTGTGACCAAGGCGCAGACCAGCGCAATGCCCAGTGTCGCCCACCACGGCACTCGGTCAAAACCCAACACTGTTCACACGAGACACAAGAGACAACTCTGTTTCAGATAAGGTGAAACTTAACTGCTTTATTCATTTAAACAGAATCGATGCTGCTCCTTTCAAAATGGTGACACCAAACTCTGTTTGTAGCCTATTTAAACATTACACTCCTACATTTCGAGGCATTTCGAAATCTCTGACATATGGTATAATGTGAAAGTCACAGGAGAAAGAAGTGGCATTTTAACCTTGTAACCACGTGTGACTTCCTGCCTCAGGAGTCGTGGTCACAGAACATGCTGCTCCGATGTAGCAGCATGTTCTTGCAGACAACAGTATCAGCAAGAGTGCACACTCCTCCATTCAGATAGGGTTCAAAAGAGCAGTCTTGCAATCAAGCGATAACAGTCTCACTATTCTCTGTAATTTCACTTTTCTTTCACTGCCTCCACAATATAGCGTAACTGACGTCTCTGTAACGGATAGATTCAGATGGCTTAAGAAAGGTTAGTATGACATTATTTAACTTTAATTTACCACTTACACGTTTGTATCTTCGGGTCGGAAATAAAACGCTGTCTAGGACATGCGTGTGTGAGTGCACTCTATTACTCTCTATTACTGTATTTGTGCATTTCAGGAGTTAGGGTGTGTTATATCTCGCGAGCCACACACACCGGACGGCAGCCCTCAGTGAAGGGCCCAGGCCACTTCACTTCTCAATAAGTTCCATCCTGCAAATAAAAACAAAAAGGAGTGGAAATCCTGCATTTAATAGTTGATTCTGAATCCCATTCATTTGTTTTTTTTTCTTTATTCTTGCTACGTTTAGCGGCTTCAGTGTTCTGCACTTCTGTCTTGAGTTTGACCATTTTATCACTGATGCAGATGCATCTTTTTGTTAATGAAATGAGGTCCAAAACGACCCCAAGAAAAAGATCTCTCCTTTGAGTTGATTGTTTTTTCTTTCTTTGTCACCTGCTTTGTCGTAATAAGACAATTTTCCTCTGTTTCCCCTTTGACAAATTACTGAGACCTCCATGGATTTGAAAAGCCGCCGGGTGATCTAAAAGACGCCTGGGTGTAGCAAGTTGACGTGGTACTCACATGGTGCTCCTGTGAACATGATGGAGAAGAGGTTGATGGCTATGGTGATGGCGTAGAAGACGGGAAGAGCTCGGAGGCCGTTGGGAACAGGGTCAGCCTGTGGAAATAAATGTAGGAGCACAGGAGTTGTTAACAGCAGTATGTAAATGCTGCCTGAGCACTTAGCCGTCAGTGTTACACATCTAATAATGTTGTATATAATAACATTTCAGTCTCCCAAAACGTATTTCTGCAGGATAAGAAATATCATTCTTAATACTTCAAATATATTATGATAATAATGCCAAGTATTTTCATATTATGCTCCTGGAACTTAAACTTAAGATAACCTGTGTTATTACTGTTCCTCCACTGCTGATGACTTCAAATAACACTTATCAACCATGTACACTGGCCAGTGTTACAGCAACGTTAGACTTACCTTGTTCAGAATGAATTTGCGAACGAAATAGAAGAGAATTCCGGACATAATGCCTGACAGCACAGGGGACAGGAACCAGGATGCCACTTTTGATAGGAAAGACATTTTAAATAACATTTATTATCAAGCTCTTAGCGACACTTTTGCATTAAATATGTGGGAGACAACATCATATATTCACCAATGCGCAGTAGCTCCATCCATTTGACCCCTTGGTGACCTCTGGCTACCATGGAGAAGCCAATTGTGGCGCCAACAATGCAGTGTGTTCCAGAAATGGGGAGCTTCAGGAAAGATGCAGCCAGCTGCCACACAGCGGAGCCTGCAAGACCAAAACACGAGCCAGGCCTGTTCACGCAATCTGAAAATAGTCTTGTACACACATTTAGCATTATTTTTATTGCACCAGAAGAGCAGGTTTAAAATGAATTTCTATGTCACAACGGTGCTTACCAAACATTGCACTTATGGATCCTGCCATCAGGACGTGTTCAGAGCCGTTGTACATCTGGACGTCAATGATGCCTTTTCGTATGGTCTCGCTGACCTTTGCCCCCAGCAGCACCGAGCCCACCGTCTCAAAGACAGTAGCCAGGATGCAGGCCTGACGCAAGGTGACCACCCCGGAGCCCACTGCGGTGCCGAAGGAGTTGGCCACATCGTTGGCCCCCACAGAGAAAGCTAGGATGAAGGCAATGACGAAGCCTAACACCAGCAGCCACAAATAGCCTGACATGGTGGACTGAGATGCCAGAACGACTGTAGTGGCAGCAGCCAGGGTTGCTAGTGTCGTTGTATCCATCGCTACTTGAAATTCAATTTAATTAAAACAATTGGAGGTAAAACAAGCCAATGGATGTGGTTCAATGGTAATGTGTTTTTAAATAAATTTCTACAGCAAAAATGGATTCTCCTCAGTTCCTGCCAAGTTCCAATAAAACTAATGGGAATAAATCTAAATGAATTGCTAGCTAGGTATGTAGGGTTTATGTGTAGGCTTCATCATAAAATGAAAGCTTATAGAGAAGAGAGAGACATCCATTGTGACAGCAAGCCTCTGAGGATCACACTGCAAAAGCACATGGAACAAGGAAGTTAGTGGTCAATGGTCCCTTTTTTTACGGTTTCAAATACACAGTTGAGTTACATATTAACAATCCCAAAAATAACTGACAAGAACCAACTAGCAACAAAACAGAATCCTTAATTATGAAGTGAACAGGTTTATAAGCGTTCATTTTCTACCAGATACTGAAGGACACTGTCATACTTTAAGGGTTATTGAAGCACAACTGGTAAGCCTTATTAATTGTGACAATGTCATAATTTCAGTGATTAAGACTCATATTTAAATCAAATGAATGAAATATAGGTCATATAATTGAATGCAGCAATTAGTTGACTTAATGACTTGTCTAAATGCCTCCGTGTAGCAACAACAAACTGGTTCCCATTGAGCGCGGCATAATTATAGCAGTCTCTAAAAATCCAATCACAATCACGAATAAATCCAAATAAAACTTCAGAAAAGCTGCAAGTTATAGCATCATTCTCTCATTTTGAACAAACTCAACCGCCGTGTACAAAATAGCGGTATGTTAATCTCCTAAGCTGCTGTTGCATAATTCAAACACACCGCGACATTGCAGGAGAGAAACAGAAAGAATTCACGCGAGAGGAAAATAAAGTGAAATACTTACATTTCAGCGCAAAGTGGAGGTTTCCCGCTGCTGCGTGCGTGCGTGCGCGTGCGTGTGTGTGCGTGAGACGGTTGCGGAGGGAGAGGAGGTGCAGCCTGTTGCAGGTGGCGGGCGGAGGTGCTGTTTATATGGAGCTGGGTGAGTACACGCCTTCCACATCATGGGACCGCTGCTAATGTTTAGCCTGATTGTTGGCGGGGGGGAGGCAGAGGGAGAGGGGGGGAGAGAGGGGGGGTAATTACAGTTGTCTCTGATTATGTCACTCACACGTGAGCCTAAAATCCCGACGTGGGTTTTTCCTCACCGCCACGGAGACACACAAATGTCTATTGTTTTGCTTAAATATATCTTCTCGTTCCAAAATAAACTGTATTTCAGGCCACAGCGTGTTTACATTCATCAGGGTTTATCGCTGTAATATTGTGTGTAATATTTGCGGAATACTCCCGGATGCTATGTATAGTTCGACTTATTTTGTGTAAATATAAATAAGAAAGATTGTTGTGTCGTTTTTAGACTGACGACCAACTCTGAGGCCCCCTGTTGGCCAGAGCTGACATTAAAAGGTGTCCTGTTTCAATGCGTTTTGGACTTTATCGAAGAAAGTTCTATAAACATACGCAAGCCGTTGTTGAACTACACACTTTCGATGTTCTTTAGTGTATTTTTCTCTTTCTCTCAAAATGTTTCCCATCACAGCAAATGATCACATTGAACTCAAGTTGAGGTGATGGAGAATCCACTGTAGCTCATCAAGCGAGTGTAGCAAAGCAGTGTGAAATAACTTCTCTAAACTACGTTACTGATTTACCTCCTAATCACCCTTCACTCCTCACTTTACTGAGAAGCTCCACAGGACCCTCAGGCCGCCTTCAACATCAGCAAAATTGACTATTTTTGAAATGCTACACTGCGTCCAAATCTGCTGATGGGTTCCTCTTTATTACTGATTCATTTAGTTCCCGTTGGGATTATGTAGTTAAGCTTTGTGACATCTGACAACGCAACCCGTGTGCACAAATGCCACCTGTGTGGAATATTTTGACCTCTTCAAGTGCAAAGGGAAGTGACTCGCAACTATACCGAAAAGACGTGTGAAGGTGGAAAACACAGTCAGCGCACTTTAACCCGCAGCACCACCTCCATACATATATATATTAGTTATTTCTATTCTATATCATGTAGAAATGGGACAATGAGGACATATAACCATTTCATTTCTGACGTGTTTCTATTTTTCTGTATCATCTTCATCAAGTGGACTGGACAGTCCTGAATACTTTCAGGACTGCTACCAGCGGGCTAGATGAGCACAGGGAGGCTGTGACGGCATACATCAGAAGACAGCTGTGTCCCATCATGCACCAGGGTGAGTTACCACAATGACAAACAGCTGCACTCAGGCGTTTCGGTGTGCGGACTGGGTCTTGTGTAAAGAGTCGAGGCGGTGTGTATCGAGGCCCGTTCTCTGCTAACGACTCGCCGTCTGTCTGGTGTGGCCTCAGATCACCAGCTACAAGCCCAAAGCCCCTCTCCTCCCCCCCTCCCTCACTGCCCCCCCCTCCACCATGAACGACCTCTGCCTGGCTAACGATCTGAATGACTCCTACTGCTGCTTTGAAAGACAAAGGAACAGTCCTGAACCCATCCACAGCCTTCAGCCTCCCCGGTTCCTCCCTCCCAGCACAATAGGAGACCCAGTTCGACGCGACGCAACAGCATTTCAAATACACATCTTAATCTACTAATTTACCTACAAGAGAAAGCTTCAATCAACTATGAGCATTGGGTGCAAATCGCTGATTTCTTTCATACAGGATCATACATTTCATGTTATGTGTCAGGCTGTGGGCAGGACTGCTCTCTCTCTCTCTCTCTCTCTCTCTTTCTCTCTCTCCCTCTCTCTCTCTCCCCTCCTGCTGTGTCTACATGTCCTGGTTTTGTTGTCCGCATGTTGATAGCGACACTGGTGTTGAAGTCGTGAAGGTTTGTGGCGGCAGGCTGAGTCTACGGTACCCGTTACATTAGTTTAAGCCCAAAGTTCTTTTCCTTTGTGCTATTGGTAAACAAATAACAACCCACGACATCTTTTGCAGTCTAAAACGGAACAATCATCATATCAACAATAACCCAAGAATGATGTCTTTCATTATTTGAATGAATAGGTCCAACAAGAACCATGAAAACAAATCATACACTCCTCCATAACAGACACACACTCATTCCACTCAATTATGTTCTCATGAGATTAGAGCTGCAATTTGAATTATCTACAAAATCAACTTTCCCAGAGATCTTCAGTACGGTTAATTACTACTGCCAACATTTGAAGTTAAATGTTGTTTTCTCTCATGTTTGAGGCGTTCAGAGCTGTAATTATCTTTTATTGTTGGCTCAAACAACAATATGCATTTGTGTTGCAACAGCTTGAGAAGTTATTTCTCTTAACTTTCTCAGAGCTTCCACTTGTACTAAACACGAGGGCCCAAGAGTGTAACGGGACACATTTCTTTTATCTCATGTAACTGTACGTTAGTTAATCGATCAAATACAGGGTGTAACTAAAAAACAAAAAGAGGCGTTTAATATGGCTTCTAAAATGAAGAAATTATCCATAAAACTTAAAATGCTACACAAATAATTACTAAAATAAAGCCACAGATTTATACCATACATACTTTAGCATTTTTTCAACAATTCCAGTCACATAAGGGAAGTGGATTATGAATGAAGAGTGACAAAAAGCACACTGAGCAAAGTAGTTTAATGTCTAAAGGTCTTTCTTTCAAGATTTTTCTCCCACAACCAACTGACCTACAGAGCGTCTTGTACTATTCATCAGGCAGCATCACAGCGTTTGTCAAGTCGAGTGAAGCTCGGCGCCACTAGATGGCATCAATGCCCCTGTTTAGGTTGAGCTGGATAAAGAATATACTTCATGTGAAAATAACACCAGTCTCAAAATTAAAAGTAAAAGTCGTAACCAGCAGTTTTGTCTTCTGTTTACATGGAATTGCTTTTGAGATCTGTTTGATGTCGACTTCATGTTACTTTGCAAATTCTAAGCGTCTCAGCCCAGTTGTCTTAACCCTAACCACCCAAATGGCTTTTGCTTACACACTTAATCCTTTACCTTAACTATTTTAATGTAAAAACACACTACTTTTCCTCATTCCACCTCCTTATTTGCAACATTCTTTTTCCATCGTTGTCCACATGTGAGAACATTACGGCAATTTCCACTTGTTTGAAATTACTGTATGTACAATTTCAAAGAGTTGGATTTGGGTTTATTTCACATTTCTTAACCAGCTTACCATTTATAAAATTAGGCAAGATAGAACATGCAAATAAGTAACTGAAGAACTCTGTTGGTTCTCATGCAAAGGCCTATATTAGCCCAACCCTTCCTACTCCTCTTCCCTCCCTCCTATCCCTGCCAAACAGGATCTGTAGGATCTTACAAAGTCATTTTCTCAGGAGACAGGAATGTCAGAACACAAGACCTGGTACCTGCTGGAACATGCACCCGACATTCCCTCAAACTTCCCAGAAAAAGTCCCTCATACATCCAGTTAATTTACACTCGGTGTGTTGCAACAGCTTTCTCTGTTAATGCTACGTGTGCGCCGGACGCGGCGTAGACGCACACTGACTCACAACTGAAATTATGTTGTCTGGTACACAACCCGGCCCAGTGTCCTCTGGTGAATGACCTTCAGGTTTGAAATGTGTTTTACTTATTTGGGGTCATGTTTAGCGTTTTCCTCCACAAGTCAAGCGAAAATATAAAAGTTTATATTTGTAATTTTGGTTATTTACAAATGAGAAGACACACAAAGCTATTCAAGTTTTTTTTTATTTTTTAGTCTTTTTAAAAAAAAAATCCTTTGTGTACAGCGGATAGTCGAGTCGTTTGACCATAAGGAACCAAGTGTGTTCTGAACATAAATATAATACAACGAAATTGTGGCATTCATTAGATAAAAAAAAAACGTCACAGAGTCAAAGAAATGTTAAGGATTACTTGGCTGATGTTTCAATCATCCCAAAACACCATCAACAGTATCTCAAGGATTTCAGACGCTATCGACAAGCAAAATATATAAATGTAACAAAACACAGACATCCCAATTATTGCTACATTCATCTGCATCAATGCGTCTATAAATTTGGAAACACAGAGGTCGAAATCGACCTGAATCCGCTCGCTCGCCCAAACACAACACCAGCACGGGCGTTTCCGCTGCTCGACAAGCAGAGCTGCACGCAGTAAAAAGTAAAAAGTCAGTTTCCTCCCACATCAGAGGTGGCTTCCCATCTAATTGAGGGACCAGCGGCTGGAGGTCCGCGAGGAGCTGCTCGAGGAGCCTCTGTGGGACTGGTTGGGGCTGTGGCTGTAGGTGGGGGAGTGAGTGACACTCGGGCTGCTGGGAGGTGTGGAAGAACAGGAGGAAGACTTGGATTTAATCTGCAGCCACTTGTCCCCCAAAGCCTTGGCGAAGTGGTCATCGACAGACACGCTGATGGAGAGCTGCTGTGAGCGATCCTTCTGGTAGTTTGCTCCGAGGCTCCTCTGGAAATGCTCCTCGACGACGTGGTCGTAGTTGCATCTGGAAATCACTGGAGGAGCAAAAGGGATGAATGAGCAAGCGGGAATGAGTAAACAGTGAGTCAGGAAAAGCGATTGCTATCAACGGTTATGATGAATGTGTGACGATTAGGGAGTGACCGTCTGGCACGTGAGTTCACTGCTCAGTGAGATTGTGAAACTGACCTGATGGTGGGGTCCTGTGGACCTCGGACCTGCAGGAGGGGGTGCTCGATGAGGAGACACAAGTGATCACAGAAGGACGCATCTGAAAAAAAGAAGATGGATCATGATCAATTTAAAGACAATTTATTTATGCATTTATAACACAGAAGCTCACTTTTTTGTATTTTCCTCATCACTGAAAATTCGTACTAATCTAAACCCCCACTGTGCACTTTGTTCGATGACAACGACGACAAATGTACACAGTTAAATTTGAAAAAAGAATAATAAAAAAAATTAATTCAATGGCTGGGTTTGCCCATATAAGTCAGATTATCTCCAGCTCAGTGGCATATGCAGGTCAAAGAGAGAGCGGTCTGTTTGGTCTTGTTGGTAGGATTCCTCCCTCCATTGCTCATATTTTGTTCCTGTATCCTGCTGGATTGCATAGCTCGGACACGCTTAGGCCTGTTAACCTTCTTGGAAGTAGAATGCCTGTGCAGATGTGCTCGCTGGCTACAGATGGGAAATGCACCCCTGCTGTGGGCAGCATGGAGCTACACCGACACTACAAAAGGGGGCTGCATCTTCTCCTGAATGATCACAGCCCAAATATTCACAGCTTTTAATAGAAGCACATTGAGGACACGAGCAGCACTTGTTTTGGTTAAATTACCTGGATTTGAGCGGGAACAGAGCTCTTAGTCTTAGTCTCCTCTGTTCTCTCGGGCTCTTTTCTTGGTTTCTTGATGAGGGCCAGTGGTTCATCCATGACTGGTGCGTAGTACACGTGGGTGGGCGGAGGGCTGGTAGAGCTTGGGGCTGGACTCCAGGCGGATGGGGGGCTCTGGGGCCGGTTGAAGCCCACCGGTCCTCCTCTCTGGGCAGCTTTGCCACTGCTTCTGCTCAGGGCCCGCTCTCGCCTGGAACATTTATCCATTAGGAAATGTTACATCTCTTACAGATGGTTTTTTTGATTTGATGAATCATGGTCGTAATATTGAATGACTTTTGTAAACTTGAATGAACTAACCGTTCCTCCAGTGTGAGACCCCTCTCGTGGCTTCTCTTGCGTTTGACTGGAAGCACTACGGGGACTCGGGCACGATCATTTGCAATGTGTCTGAATCGGTCTTCGCTCCTGAGGTGGGGCTGACCTGAAAAAAGGAAAATAAAAGTAGATAATTAGAATAAGAGGCTTTGAAATGGTTCAGGCTTTAGGTTGATCTGCCAGGACAAGATGTTAATAAACAGAAATTTACCGGCAATGATGATGTTACTACAGTGATAAAGGGTGAGTGGTAATGACTAACTGCTTGTTTTGACATAAACCTGCATGACTGCTGCTATCCGTGGGAATTTTTTTTTGGCCACCGTTAATTGTAAACTCCGTTAAGTTGCAGAACTTGAACTACCAGATCAGTTAGGTTTACTACATCACACAGCTGATTCAGTAACGGTAAATGTTGTTTTTCTGCATGATGTTGGCATTCAGCCCATCATCACCCAGCTAAAAGGTCACAATCAACAGGTTTTTGTATGACGGGCTGCCACAGATTTGAAGGCCTGGAGTCTGTAAAGGACCCTGATTTGGGCGGCAACCATTTGCAAAAGAGCCATCGCAGCGAACTCCCACACACTGGATTTCTGCAATTACACGAGTTGAAACACATTTACCAGACGCTGCTGATGTCATTGTGGCGTTGAATAGGAAAAATGCAGTGTGTACAATATAAACCCCCAAAATGATTTTCCATGAGGGATCATCCTTTAATGAAATCAAAGCAGCAGAAGTCGTGAACCTTTTTCCTATTGTGGCTTCTGTCTTACAGCAAGCACACGTGTTCAAAAGCCCTGCATTTCCAGTTCAAATAAAACGCATGCATTTGTAAAGGCACCATAATTAAACGGTTGCTCATTGTTTGACTGTGTGCTCAGTTAGCACTTGAAAACCCACATGGATGTTGAAGTCCTTCAGAGCTCCTTGACCTGTATTCAAATCAGCCATTCAGTGAACAAGTCACAATGAAATCGCACAGTGAGGTGATTAAGTGGTTTGAATGGCAAGTTGTTCCTTGTCTTCATATGCCAAGTGCTCACTCCAATCCGCATTTATATAGACTTCACGCAGGGTGCCATTGTGGAGGGGCAGGTACAACCACACCTATGCTGATTTTCTACTGCCTCGGGCATGGATATTTATTCCCTGTTTGCCTGACCTTCTGTTTTGCTGTGTTTACAGAAACGCGGCATAGTAACGCAATTTATACAATGTCTGTGCAATCTTGAAGACCTTGAAAGCAACTGTTTAATAGTATGAACATCCCTTTTTGAAACCCGCTGAACTTTTCTTTATGACAAACAGTAGTATTACTATTAAAAAACGCACATTTCACAAAGTATATTTTAAAGTTGAACGTAGCTGACTGCCATCACATTTAATTCTTTGGGTTTGACGCTGTCTCCGAATTTAGACCATGTACAGAACAGGGCAACTGCCGCTGCAATGAAACCATCTGGTTTTTGAAACGACTTATGAACAGAATTGACAAAAATAACTAATACAGTAAAATCTTACCAAGGTAACACAACCATTCCCTATCATCAAGCAACACGAGGAAATAAAAGCACCATAGTAATCATGCTCACCTTCTAAAATGTAGACCTTGAAGCCACTGCTCATCCTGGTAATGTATTGGAAATTGGCCACCGCCATGGCTCCCTGTCTTTGTCTGTGGGAAGCTAACTAGCGAGGAACAACGTGTCTGCTGGAGCTCACGGGACACAATGTGCCTCAGATGTAGATTGTATTGGACAGGTAATGAGATTTTAAGGTCTGGGCTGCGGCAGGTAAAGCACCAGGTGAGTGTAGATAGGTGCAGTGGCCTCCTTGTGACTCATTCCCTGCATCCGGATTGGCTGCCGCAGAGGCCAATGAAAAGCCCTCATTCACCCTGGGTTGTTATTGTTCTACAGGAAGAATGAACTCACAGGTACTTTGGTTTAAAAGGTGGAGAGTGTGTGCTCGCTAAATGTCATTGCACCAAAGAATCCACACAGATTACAGAAGCTTTTACGGTATTAAACACTTTCTTATGAAGTATGAACTTCTTTTTGATCATTATTCACCCTTTCACACCACTTTAAAGATTTCTCCCTGAAGAGAGGGAAGCGTGCCTTTTGTTTCACTCGTTGCGATCACCACCTGCCCCACTCCCCTCCCCCCACTCCCCTATTCTGTAATCTCACCAAACTGCATTTTTTCGAGCTCTTAGCCCACCGGAGCTCCAGTCATTCCACTGACCTGCCCATACACGCAGGCAGCTGTACTGAGTGCCTGCCTCACCAGTAATCCAAAGGCTTTTGTTGACGGCCAGACAAAGACTCCTAAGTTCTGAGAATGACGCGGCCATGAGAACAGTCTTGCCTGAGGAGTTTTGCCAGACTTTGGAGGCCACTGGCTCGGATACTGCGTGGCATTGGTAACCGTCTGCAGGGAAATTATTATAAGAGTTTGATCAATATGTTGATCAACATATCAATGATTTTTGGTGTATTTGGATATTAGTGTGTTGGTGCTTTGGAATCAAGAGAAGTGATCCTGTGTCCTACCCTGGTTTACACACACCTGTTTCATTCTTTAATACAGATTTTACTGATGTGATAGAAGCTGCTACGGCTGCGCATATAAAGGACTAACTGTGACCACGTACATGAAATGCGTTTAATGAACTCAATTTAAGCTCCACACTGCCCTCCTACGTCAGCACACCACAACAACATGCCATCAAAACCCACAGCAGGTTACTCCATATCACTAAAAAAGGGTTACTGTGCCACAGTGGTAAGGATCCTTTATGTTATCTAAAATGTGTTGCCTACTATACACTAGTCTGGAATAACTAGTCAGTTTTTTTCACTAAATCATTCCATGCACTTTTAACATTTTTAAAATGCAAGGAATCTGTTTTTAAAATGCATGGAATCTTAGTTACTGTTTTGCAGCAAACTTTTTTTTAACCACTACCTTAATGTTCTATCCTGTTTTGGCAAGGTCATCTCTGCAGCACAATTTAAAATGAGGTTTTAACACACAACTCCTACAATTTGAAATTTTGGATTTAGATTATGATTATTATATAATAGCTCAGACACGACAAACCTGCTTTTTACATTTTTTTAAATCTTAATTTTCTTTTAAAATGGAATATTTGGTACTTTCGAACTATCAATGTGTTGCCAAATTAAGTTAAAATTATAGAAATAAAAATATAGATATATTTGTATCTAATGTTCTCTTTATAATGTAAACAACCTTTTAACATATTTTCTCTAACGTAAATCCGAACGTTAATACAGGAAGGACAGAGACGGAGAGACTTAAAAAACAGGTTCCTGTGATACATTTTTACTGCTCCTCATGGCATTTGTAAGATTCCACCACACCTGCAGAAGAAGATTCCACCACACCTGCAGAAAAAGATTCCACCACACCTGCAGAAAAACTGACAAGCCGATATGTCTTTACTCGTGAATTCCAATCCGACAGTCAGCCAGAAATACTCAGTTGCTTAGATGTTTGTTACCTGGCTGCCACGTAGTATTTTGACACTAGGACCACGGGCCAGAGCTAATTTTCTCATTTTACAACTTAACACTAACACTAAATTAGATTTCTGGGGGTGATACATTTGCATTGTGAAGACAGTGACTCACTGCATCAGCACATTTTGTAGTGATTGTATTTTAATTGAGAGACAAACTATTTGAATAAACTCAAAGGTGTTGCATGCAAAATTTTGTCACGGTCATCCATCATTACTCCTTCCAAAACGGCTGCAGCAGCTGTAGACTCCAGGTGGAGTGAGCGAGGAGAGGCCACACTGTCTTCGGTTATTACTGTCACGTTCCCAATGTAGGAGTGAGTCATGTCAGAAGGTCAACGCAGTCCTAAACAAAGCAGCGTTAAAACCAGCATTTTTGTCATTATTTTGTCAACACAACACGCCATGATACCTTGACCAGGCACTGTTCAACAGATGAAAACGCACTGTGTATCATTGTCCACTGTTAACACGGGTCAACATACAGAGTTTCCATTGTAGAGGTGTGAGACTCCCTGGGGGGGTTGTGTGGATCACAACCCCCCCAACAGATGGCGCATCTCTCTCCATGTGTATTGACTCCACTTGAAAATCTAAAGTCACACGCTGTTTCAGCGCCCTGAAATTCAAACAGTAAGTGTGTCGCTGATACATTATTGAACACAACAGGATGCGATATCACATCAACACCTGTAAGCGCCCCCACGGAGCCACAGCGGGCTCATGTCTGACGGAGCGACGCCCTGACACTCTCATCAGCACCACCATCATATCCCAACGGAGATCTACGTCAAGTCAACGAATCACAGGCTGAACAATACAGGAAGTGGAACACTGTTCTGTTTAATAGGCTTTAACATTACAAAACATATTTTTATTTCAATCAATCCATTGATCACATGCTCAACGTCAAAATGCCAAAGCAAACCTTTCCTTTCTTGTTTTTTTTTATTTATTTTTTTACCAAAGCTGGATTCTAATTGCACAGCCAATACACACCCAGATTTTCAGTTTGCAATGACATAAAACATACAAAATGTAACTTACTTACCATAGCCCTTACATTTCAATGCTGTACACATAAACATTGGTATTGGTATTGGTAACATTGGTAAACAAATCAAAAGCCCCCTCCCAATTACTTAATTTGATTTGAAGTAAACTTCTGGCAAATGGTAATGGTAATGGTACTCAGCAATAGCGCTGAACAAAAATAACTCACAGATTCAAGTGAATATGGTAATGAAAAAGGAACTAATTAAGAGGTGAATTAATATCCATTTGTAATTAAAACAAATACTATCAGAATGAAGAATTTCTAACCGTTTGATTACAATTTTAACACTGATATTGCTCTAATAGCTTCCTCTAAGCGAGTGTAAAAGAAAAGAAATAACATGTGGGTTAACGAGCGTTTAACCTGAAAGCCTCCCCCGGAAGCTGCGCTGCGCGCGCTGCAGCACTTGACTCTCGTGCAGCCTCGCAGGCCACTTTCCTTCCTCGAGGTTGACTGGTAGTGACGCAGGACAGACGGAACGAGAAGAGCAGGGCTCGAGGGCAGGCTAAGGACAGGGAGAATGGTGGTGATGCTGGAAGGACTGTAGCTTCCATTCGAGGGGGTCAGCACCGCTTTGCCGACTGCGACGTAGTATCCTATATTCAGGCTTCCCGTGAGAGACAATAATTAGCATCATCTCCTCATCGTCGGGGCGGATCAGGTTGGATACACTCCCAGGTAGGCTTCATCGTTCCTTGGTATTAAAGTACTGTGGTGGCAGTTTTGATAGGCGTGGTTTATTTACACAGGCCAGATAGTAAAATCAATTTTATTCATCACATGGACCCTTCTTTTTTTCAGCTCTTATCAATAACAGGCTTTAATGTCACGATTCCTTATGTAATTGGATATAAGACATCTGCACCCAATTGATAACACGAGACCTGCTTCTCTTTAGGTTGCATTGATCCCCGCCCCTGAGTCGCCTTGTCGTTCCGTTTGGTTACCGAGCACCAAGCAGCATCCAGTCGGAAAGACATTTGGACACCTCTCTCCGTCCCGTCCCCCCCGTCCCCCGCCCCGCGTAGAACGTCTCCATCATGAACTACCTGCGTCGACGACTCTCGGACAGCAATTTCATGTCCAACCTGCCCAATGGCTACATGACCGATCTCCAACGCCCCGACGCGCCGCAGCAAAGCCCCGCAGTGTCGCCCGGCCCGACGGAGAGGCGCCAGTCCTCCAGCCAGCCGCTGCCGCAGCAGCAGCAGCCGCCTGCGCCGCAGCAGCTTCAGCAGCAGCAGCAGCAGCAGCAGCAGCAGCAGGCGCAGCCCGGAGGTGGAGGCTCCGGCTTCTTCTCGTCCTTATCAAATGCTGTTAAACAGACCACGGCGGCCGCGGCTGCGACCTTATCCGAGGCGGCTGACCGCGCGGGAGTCTCCAGCAGTGCCAAGATCCTCCTGGTTATCGACGACCTGCAGACCGACTGGTGAGACAGCTGTGCGCATTACCTGTGCGCGGTGCCTTATCGTCTAGACCAGAATGCGTGCGGACCGCGGGCTGCAGCTGGCCCCACGTCTAGAAGGTCGTGTAATTCAGCCGGTTCTGTGAGATATTTCAGTTGTATAATCCGTTGGCTTTAGTCTGACCTGAAACATGATGCACATGTGATTATTTAAGGATGCTGCTATGGCAAACGCGCAACAGTCTGAAGGCAGAGAAGCCATTTTCCATTAGGGTCACGTTGGTAATGCTTAATATTAGGGTAAGCATTTAAGGGTATGGGCTGATGCACAGTGATTATGCAGGCGTTTTCAAATGGAGTGGATGTGAGTGCAACTTGTGCACAGTATCAATATTCATGCATCATGATTCAAGCCTCCTCAGTGTGCACTGCGCGTGCTTGTTGGAGCTTTGGGCACACGCGAAGGTGATAAAACACTGCACTCTTGTCCCAAAATGACACCCACAGGCAATGCTAAAAGATGGATATCTGCGCGCATCATCTGGTCAAATCCCTTCTCCCTCACGGAAACTGTGATTCTCACACTTTTTGTATATTTAATTCCAAATATTGGACGTAAAAGGCATGGACCGGCATTCATGTCAAATTCATATCTCCCTGCACGACATGTTACCAAAAGGCCTTATTTTGATGAATCACCAGTTACAGTCTGCGTATATGAAACACATACTTCCATTAACATATTACTTTATTTGGAGCAAAATAGCATTTTGTTTCATTGAATTTAACTTTATGTACTTGATAAAACTGTATAAATGTTCTTCAGATGCTGAAAGAAAATTGTTCTGTTAATTATAGGACACATCAGAAAAATTACATTTAATTTGTGTGTTTTTTTAAAAACAAAGATCGGATTCCAACCTTCTTTTCACATGCAGGGTAAAGGTCTTCAGGGGAAGAAAGGTCCACAGTGAATTCGACATCAAGGTCGAACAGGTATTGTCCTTACTCTGTGTTTGTGTCAATCTTTACTCCTTATTTCCTAGGAACAGTGAACATGGAAAACAACCGGACAAGCTGAAATAAAGCAACTTTATTCTTGTGACCAAACTGTGAAATTCAGACGAAGTCTGCCATCTCATTATTGCACCCTGCTCTATAATGCTCATCTATAAGGTGTCCTTCACTATCCTGCAGCTGTCGTCGTGATTTGAATTCTTTTTTTTTTAGGCAGAATTCTCTGAAATCAGCCTGGTGGTGAATTCCACAGGCTCTTACAATGTGGACATTGATGCAATCAGGAACGGCCACAAGGTTACTAAGTAAGTACTCCGCAAAATATTTCTACTTGAGAAAATTTGAAAGTGCTCCTGCTGATTTAAGCTTATGTTGACATCTGCTGAATTTCCACTATATCACGAATGGAAATGTCTCGTGAGGGTTCAGTTTGTCTGGCAATGCAGTTTAATATTTTGCTAATGTCCTCACACCCAGATCCTTGAAGCCAGACTTTGTGCTGATTCGACAGCATGCCTTCAGCATGGACAAGAATGGAGACCACCGGAACATAGTGATTGGACTGCAGTACGCTGGACTTCCAAGTGTGAACTCTTTGCACTCTGTTTACAATTTCTGTGACAAACCATGGGTGGCAAGTATTATCAACTATTTCATATGAAAAACCTTATGATGCAATTTCCTCTGCTCCTCTGCGTAGAAATAGAAAGTAAACATTTGTGTTCATTGCAGTTTGCTCAGATGTCGAGAATCTCCAAGCAACTGGGCCCGCAGGAGTTCCCTCTGATAGAGCAGGTTTACTACCCGAACCACAAGGAAATGGTGAGTTCTTTGCCACGTGCTCGTATTCTCTTTCTCCTTCCCGCTTCACATGCTAGGAGGATAATTCACTTCCATGCCAGTACTATAGCTCATGTAGCAGCTGAGACCAATAGCATTTTCTAGGGTGTGGTTCCCCCCCCCCGCGTTACTGGCAGAGGCAGAGCTCTTGGTAATTCGTCTGCCAAGTCAGTGACAGTACCGTGACACTGAGTCTGTTCCTGCAGTCATCTCCTGCCCTGCAGCCACAGGCTGACGGGACCGGCTGGCTTTCAGGTCGTCAATACGAATCAGAATCTCCTGCTGAGGGCGGGTTGCTGTATGTCATTTCTGTTTGACAGAAGAGCATTAAAAAAAGAGCTTTTTAGTCATGTGATACGATGAAAGTAATTTAGGAGAATTCTGTGTATGTGTTAATTATTTTGTTACAGATTACCTCCCCCCGCTTTCCTGTAGTGGTGAAGATGGGCCATGCTCACTCAGGAATGGGAAAGGTAGTACCGGAGTGCTCAAGCGTTTGCTCAGTTCAATGTGAACACAATATTTCCTGGACCAAAATATGCCTGTTTATATTTATATTTGCCACTACAGGTAAAAGTGGATAATCAATATGATTTTCAAGATATTGCCAGTGTTGTGGCACTGACCAAGACTTATGCCACATCGGAGCCCTTTATTGATGCAAAGTATGATGTACGCATCCAGAAAATCGGCAACCATTACAAAGCTTATATGTGAGTTACTGTCAAAGTGCCAAAAATTACACATTATTAAAATAAAGGAAAGTGGTCAAAGTGCATAAATACATGTCATTCTTATACACAGGAGAACATCAATTTCTGGCAATTGGAAAACCAACACTGGCTCATCCATGCTTGAGCAGGTGGCCATGTCAGACAAGTAAGTGCTCATGAATGCAGAGATGAGATTTGGAATTATAGAATGTCTCACTGCGCTATTACAGGTGTGTTTAACATGTTATTACAGGTACAGAATGTGGGTGGACTCTTGTGCTGACATCTTTGGAGGGTTGGACATCTGTGCTGTGGAGGCTCTTCATGGAAAGGATGGCAAGGACTACATCATAGAGGTACTAACAGGCTGTATAATCATACCAATGGGATACTTTTCTGTTATCAAATGGTAAATGAAGTAAATGTATTACGTGTGGCTTTCTAGGTTGATGACTGTTCGATGCCGCTGATCGGGGACCAGCAGGACGAGGATCGAGTTCAGATTGCAGAGCTGGTGATTTCTAAGATGAACCAGGCTGTTCCACGCACTTTGAGCTCTTCCACAGCAGGGCAGCCAGCACAGGTGCTAAAACCTCAGATGCTCTTATTTTCATCCAATAAATCCCTTACCTGTCTTTATTTTCCACACACATCAGTAATATATGTCGAGTCAAGTCTGCTTTTATTCAGTTACACACAACAGAAAACATATGAGAAAATATACTCATAACATACATACAAGGTAGTGTGCAATGTATGTACTAGATACCTACTGCAGACTACAAGAAACCGAAAATTAGTTAATACATACTGAACCACATTCATATTAATTGTATGTGGTTTTAAGCCATGCAAGCCTTTACATATCAAAGTAGGTGGGCAGATGCTTTAAGTGAGCGGAGGTATTAAAGTAACTGTTAAGGATAGATGTCAGATGGTATTAGTATTAGTGGTATAGTTTCATCCGGATAGATGTGGAGCTTTATGTCATGTGTGGGTCATCAAGAAACAAAAAATAAATGTGGTGTAATGGGCCAAGCACTGATTCCATCAATATGTTTTAATTTATCATTAGATAATTTATCTGTCCTTTCTTGATTGACGCACATTCACCCCCTTTTGACCCATGTGTGGTTTGCAGAAAGCAGTGTCTCCTCAGCCTGTCTCACAGACCAAAGTACCACAGGCTCAACAACGCCCCTCACCTCAAGGTATCAACTCATTTGTTTTTGTCTCAAATTCATCTTTATTTCCAGGCCTAGACAAGGATACTATTTGCAAGATTCATTTTCCCCCCTGTAGGTGGTCCTCAGCAAAGTCCCCCATCTCAGCAGCGCCCACAGCCTCAAGGCCAACCTCCTGCACAGGCCCAGCAATCTGCAGCAAACCCAGCGACAGGTGACCCCGGCGCTCAAGCTAAGACTAACCAAGGCTCTGCAGCCCTGCCACGGTCCCCAGGTCAGGGATCCCCTCAAGGCCAGAGAACTCCCTCTGGTCAGGGCTCTCCTCAGCGAAGCCAGGGCGGTTCACCTCAAACTCAGAGGCAACAATCCGTCCCCCTGCAGCAGAAACCTCAACAGAGGCCAGCTCAGCTCCCCAGGCAGCAGTCACAGGGGGCAGCACAGCAACAGAAGGCTCCCGGCCAGCAAGGTCGCCCCGGAGGACCCACCACCCAGCAGCCCCGGTCTGCTGCTCAAGGCCACGGGGGCCCAGGAGGACGACCCCCGCTGCAGCAAAAGCCTCAGCCACCAAATAAGCCCAGTCAGGACAACCCGGCTATGGGCGGCTCTCCGCATCTAAAGTAAGTAAGTGTGTACAATAAATGATTGTTGATCAGTTTCCTCTATTTTTCTCTAACTTTTTGCCAGCATTCGGACATGCATGAGAACGTGAGAAATCTCTTCGTGCATGATTTATGTCATACCGTACATTATTATAACAACAAGCTGAAGCTAGCTTGGAGCTGTTTATAACCACAATGAATGTTTCATATACAACACAATCCATATACTAGAAAACCGGTTACACATTTTTGCAATTTGAAATCATTTTTTTCTTTGTGGATATAAAAAAGTAACCATTTTGAACCACTACATCAAACATGCAAAATAGAATGTATTTCATATATTCAAAATAATTACTTTGATGCATAACCTAAATATATATTCTAACAGACATGTTTACTACTCCTCACGACTTTTAAGGCTCATCTTGATATAGAAGCTCTCAAAGCTGAACAAGTAAATTCAAATTACAGCTGTATTTGTTAAATGCGTCAGACATTTGAGTGGTTAGAGGCTTTTGCTGCGAAAGTGTAATTATTTCTACCTTAATTGTCACTACCTTTTCCAGCTAATGGTTTTCATGGACAAATGACTCATATGGTACTGATTTTGGATTATATTATATTAGACTGTGCTCTCTTAATATATAGCCATAAATCACTTATCTTCATCTCTATTCATCCAGAAAGCCATTTACGACATCTTATCAAAGCTAACTTGAAATGATAAGGCAACACTGACTGGCCACTGACTGGAATGCTTTTAGTATTTTCTTCGGAGCTCTTTTCTCCCTCCTCTCTCTGTTTCTCTCTGTGCTCCATTTCTTTTCATTCCATGGGTTCGCTGCATGACTTTAATAGCCTCTTCCTCTCCTTTATTGCCATTTTCCTCTCTTCATAGCAAGTCCCAGTCTCTTACCAATACCTTCAACATTCCAGAAACCCCAGTGCCACGAGCCAGCCTTAGCCAGGATGAGGTGAAGGCTGAAACCATACGAAATCTACGCAAATCTTTTGCCAGTCTCTTCTCAGACTGAGAAGGCAACCCTCCCCCCCCCCACCTGCTCTCTCTCTTCTCCTACTGACAGAAAGGTGGACAGGCGAACTGAAGGAAAGTTACCCCCCCCCCCCCCCCAAGCGAACAAGGACCAACAGGATCCAATTCATGTACATTGACAATGAAATGAAAATGTGCACATGACACACACTGCCTAAATCGATAACACCTTTTGAAAGTGAACAAAAAGTAGAATACACAGTTAATTTGGGCTCTGGTATCTGAAACATTCCTCGTCTTGCCTCAAATTTAAGTAGGTATCATCCACCAATTGTGGTACAAAACAAAACATCACCGAACACAGCCTGTGTATGCATGAATTCACATACGCAAAGATGTGAAACAAACAAAATTCAACTCCCACTTGTTTGTAGGCACACTGAAGTCATTGTGATCTTATGTTGGCATTTTGGTCAGTCGGCCGAGCGACTGTAAGAAAATCTGAAGTGGAAGTGTGCTTAATCTAATATTTTATTTCATAAAAAGCATGGTCCTCCCTAGTGTTTTCCCAAAATTGTCAACATTATATATTTATGCCAAACATAATACAACAGTGAAAATACAGCCTATTTTAATATAGACACTAATATATAGACTAAAACTGATATTATACCTTGTGTATATGGAAAAATGGCACTCTATGGCACAGATTAATAACACTTCTTTTTGATTAACTATTTTATCTATTTTTATATAATTCATCTCACATAAACAACATATACGTGACCTATAATAGACGGGGGGTAAGGTATAACAAAAGAAACAACCTTCTCCACTCTGCCCAAAAAATCACACTGCACTCTCCTTTGCAAAAATGAAGAGTTACAATATCCTTTTCTGACCATTTTCCGGCCCCCAAAATCATTTTTGAGTGCTTAACACAGCGCAGCTGCACACGTAGGATGTCTCGTATGAGTTAATGCTAGATCTGTTCGAGCTGTTGACCGCTCATGGTGATGTCTTAGCTGCATGTCATCAGGAGGCAATGGTCACATTTACCAACCCCTGACATTGGCGCTTGTAAATGTGTTGTCACACGTAGTCGAATTTATTAGTGCAGTAACCCTAGTAGGTGTTGTAAGTTTGTTGTTGCTGCTACTTTTTCCCCCGCACAAAATCAAAAGCCTAAAAGCTCCCCCCCGCCCCTTGAAAGCATGGCAAGAACGTTAGATCAAATGGAGTTGTCTCAGGGATTTCCACTTGATTGTGACACTTGTGAGGGTTAGGGTCTTCCATTGCAGTTTTATTGTGCTTGTTTACTAACAATGGTGGAAAAGCATGCATTTTAATAGGGTAGAGTGTTTCTATTATTTCAAATGCATTTGCACACAGAGAATACTGCAAAATTATACTTGAATACAGCGACATTGACTTATGTATGAAGTCTTTATTCATCCGCGACTTGACAAAGCAAAAACTCGGTGGTCCCAACCTGGGGTGCTGCTGAGTGTGTGACAGGTGTGGCACAGAGGGAAACAACATAGGCAGGGTTTGCAACCCTTCAGGTACAGATAGTGAAAAATGTGATTATTTACAGACCCTTGATTCCATTGTAATGTAATGAAAGAGCTTCTTTGCAGATTTACAGTAACTTAGTGGTTTATTTCAGGAGTTAGTTGATGCATTGGGATTTTGCACTTAAGTAACTCCGAACCTGATTCTGTTTCATACAATGCAGCGGATGTTCTGCTTCCATGCCCCTTGGTTTTCAATGCGTTTTTAGTTTGTAAAAGGACTAGACTTAATACAAAAAAAATGTAAAAGTATAAGAATGTTAAACCGGGTTTAGCCCTGCAGTAGATTTAGTACTTCCTGCAACCTTGCTTGCGCTCCTAACTTTTTCTTTTATCACTGCAGAAAGTCTATTCTGTTTCCAGGCACTAAATTGTCTTCCAGAAGGAGTGCTTTCCATTTGAATGTCAACGTAGTATGGCAATATCAGGCTTTTCTGGAGAAGACCCAATAGCCACAAGTAAAGGAACCTTGGTTCCCCTGCAGATTCCTCATGCCGCTTGTGTTTTGTGTAGCCACAGTGACCCCTTGTGCTCAATGGTGCATAAACGTGTGAATGTTGTTGTGTAACTGGTCAAACCAAATAGATGTGTTGTACAGAGCTCTGAGTGATGCAGATTATCACCTTCATCCGCTGCTGCTATTTGTGCTCGTTGATATTACGTGTGTCTCTGAAGTTTTTATTTCTTCATTCTCGGTTCTTTATTTTAACTATTTCTACACACTTCTTTTTTTTCTGAGAGGCAGGATTATCTGGGGCTTGTAAGCTTATGCATTAGTGATTCAGGGCTTCAGTTTTCTATTTTACAGTGACTCAGTTTCAGTGCATGACTGTCTGATTTATTGTGGAACAGCCCAATTCCAAGAGACATCAGTAATAGCAGCTTTGTGTAATTGTCACACTGAGTGTAATTTATGAAAACGAGCCATCACAATAAGCCTGGATGGTTAACTTTGAAATGTGTCATACTGTGGTTCAAAGGCCTGCTGGCCATTACAAGATATCATTTGCCATGGCAACTCCTGAGACTGACAAGATGACATGTGACAATAGTGCAAATAACTGGTTGTATATTTTTACGTTTTGATATTCACAGATTGTTTTTTCTGTTGTAAAAGTTTACATTATTTATGGTGGATATATCTGTGAATGTACACTTTTTGTTACAGTCAATTTGATTGTTTTCTATATGCATTGTATTACCATGGTGGAAAGATGAACTCTTTTTACATTTGAGTTGAACTGATTGTCAGTTGATGCCTGCCGGATTTTGAAATGTAGATCATATATGTAAAGTGCAAGAATCAAAAAGCTGAAGTTTTTTGTCAATCAAAAAATTAGATATTGCATAATGTAGATCATGGTGGAATTGAATCAATGTAAAAAAAATATGTATTTAATGTTATATGCAATGTAGCTATATTATGTGAAAATAAGTGAAAATGTGATTAAAAGATGCACAATAAAGTCTGTGACCAACAATCACTGTTTTCGTTGTTATTGACTGAATATTGATTAGTAACACATGGTTTTGGGGTTTTGAGCAGTTCATGTTGTACAGAATATAAAATCCCTAAGACAAAGATTCATGAAAATAAAAGACCATGACATCCAAATCAAGAAATTGAAGTTAATTGTCAATTGTTAATTGTGAGTAATTATCACTTTTGAACAGTGCAGGTAGGAGTTGTGGTTGATTAGCTTGTATTTTGAATTATAGTATAATGCAAGTGTTTAAAAATAAAATCTAAAATTTGAAGTTAGGAAGAAGCGGAAAAGGTCCCTGACTTTTTCAAACATAAAAACATGCTTTACACTTTATACTGAGCACGCTTTGCTCTGAACAGTGTTTAGTGCAGTTGTTGTAATAGCAGTCATACTTATGTGACCACACGATGGTGTGGGCCTACAGCTTTCAATCCTGCACACGTTACGTTATGTAATTCATTTTACAATGAAGTAATAACTGTTGTAATGTCTCTTTAATCAGAATAATTTATTAGGATACATTCAAATAATTTCCCAAAATATGTGAAATGATAGTTTATAGAAAAATTTGCTGGGTTTTGAAAAGTATTGATAGTATAGTGTGTCCTTATCAGAAAATTCAAAACATCTTCTGTGCTACATTTGGAATGTCTTTGTGACATGGGATTTCTGTTCAATTGCCCCATCATTACGTTGCTAATATTTTTTACAATGGATTTTTATTGGAGTATTGTCTTTTACTTAGAAATAGTAAATAGGTCTTGTTTTAATTGCGTCTACAGAAAACTACATTTTAATTACAGGATTTTCAGTCATAATCACATAGAAAACACAAATACCAATGTGTGCATAATCCTATTAACCTAACTAATCAGGCACATATGAACAAATAGCTCCCCGAATACTACTCATCTTATTTCAGTCTAACGTTTCTTATTTAAATAATGGGCTAATTACTACTATTTGAGGAAAAAATAGTTTATTATGTTGAAGAATTACTTAGCGTGTCTAAATATTTAAGCTGGCTGCGGTTCTAGGCAGTGAGGGAGCGAGCTCAATTTTAATCACCGAATGGATCAATTTCTTTTTCCCCTGAAAGTTTTCATTGCAGACAAATCCTGGCTGCAAAATTGGATTCTGCAGGGAGGATGTTATATGGCAGCCTGCTCACAAAAGGTCAGTGTGGTTTTAAAAGCTGTCCGACCGCTTGCGCTTTTTATCTAGCCGCTCAGTGGGCCATGCCGTTCTCTCCTTGCAAATATAGGTTTGGTCAGCAGTTCAGATGCTCATCTGATCCGGACAGACAAAACTCCATGTTGAGTAACTTTTAGAGGATGATTACATTCTTCTATTTTGACATTAAAAAGTCAGCCTCATTTACACATACCATTTGCACATTTTGATCATACACTCGCAGAGGAGGGACTTCAGTATCGTAAACAGGACAGCAGGCTGGTGAACAACGTCACCCATTAACAAAAAAAACAATAGAAATTATGCTTTTCTATGACTTTGCAGGGCACAAACAAAGGATTCAAGGGTAGTGCCAGCAATAGTCTTGTTCTGTTACGGGAGGGGCGCTCACAACTTCTTCTCTGAGCAAGGATATTTCCAGAGCTGACCCATTTAAACAGCCTGGAGGAAGCCGAGAGCACAGGTGCATCTGGATTGCTGCAAATGTTAAGCGGAATGCGGGATTTTATACAATAAGTGTCAAAAACGATTTGCACATTTCATTTGATGGGACGTGCAAACTACACAAGATTTGAACAATCCGGCCTCTAGTGCCGTGTCACATTTGTCTCTAATGGAGGAAAAAGAAAAGCTAATGTCAGTCTACAATTCAGTTGTTTCATTCAGAAATCAGATGGTTGTCTGGGTATGGAATGGGAGGCAGAGGCTGTTACAGCTATACATGCCCTGCAGCCTTGCACAATTAGTGCAACTCTGTACTACTTTGCATTGTGCTGCTGTGGGACGGAGAGCGAGAGCTATCCATATTTAGAAGGACTTCATTGATTCTCCCTACCAAGGCACAAACGATTTGTTGTCTGTCCATCTTGAATAGCGGGACCTCAACTGCGCTATAAAACCTCCTGTGCTGACCTCAATCACTGAAAATCTGATGAAACTAAATGTAATAAAACGGCATTCTGATGCCATGTCGTGCCACAAACTGCACCCACGGAGAGGCCCGACTCTTCTTTCTAAATGTGTTTCCCCTTTAACAAACTCACACACATGAGTGATTCCACAGCCAAAATGGCAGATGACAGAGGATGAGGGAAGAGCGCACAGTAAAGATTTAATTAAGACTCACCATGGGACGTCTTACTGTGACTCCAGAGACCAGGACAGAGGAGTTTGTGTTTGCTCAGTGCAGCTGTGAATAATATCTACACTGCTCTTACATTGACCTACATGTACTGGGATCTGCCTACACAAGTCTTATTTTTTACCGTGGGGCTGCCAAGAGGGGCCTCCTTATGGTAGACCTTATGCTAAATTTAAATAGTCAATCGATGCTGGACATCATCTGGGCCAGCAGAAGTATGAACGTATATTCACCAAACGTGCACCACTGTGAAACTACACTGCTCAAACCACCGAGCGGTACATTTGCAGATCGTTTAAGCTTCACAAGCAATTTTCACCTCCCTTCATCCTTGTGACGTACATTTTTATGGTTCCATGGAAGACTCCCATCAGCACTTTACTTTATTCCCTTTGAAATCTATTCAATCTCTTTTGCTCCATCTCAGAGTGGGTTACCATGGATACCATTCCCCAACGGTTTGGCTTGTACATGAATTTGTTTATGAGTGTTAATTGCACTAGATTTTAATGTTCTTTTTGTTTGCAGCCAAAGTAAACACACTTAGTGAATTACGCATTAACAATTACATTGAAACGGTTACTATAGTTGTTATATTATATCCCTTTAAGACCAAGAGCATAACGTTATTTCAAAGCTTCTACGGGCAGGCATTTTTGCAAACATTTGCTTACACAACATGATGTATTGGCTACATAACCACAGTAGCAAGAGTGTCTCTGACTCAAGTGCACTCTGGAGAGGCCAAAGAAGCTGCTGCGTGTATTCTAGTACGATCCACCAGGAATCAGAGATACGCCAACGTGGATTCTTCGGTGGAGCCAAAAGAGCATCCAAATACTTCACTTAGATGCCTCTAAATCCTGGCAGAAACACGTGGTCTGCATATGCACCGCCACCACTGTAAATCATGTCTGAGGCAGGAAAGTTGGGAAGAGAGGATTGAGTGGATTAATTTGTTGAGAGTTTAATCAGGTTTCATTCGGGATTAAGGGAAAACTGGGTGCTTCTCTCGGGAATCTTCAAATTCACAGCTGCTGCATTTCACTCATCTCTGAGTCCACAGAATTAAAGTATGTACATATTTCACACAAGACGCGCAAAGGTCTTTAAAGACCTGAAGGACGCCCCCTCACTCTAACATATGTCTATGTAAGAGGTCCGGCTGTGTGTCCTAGTGAAACAGTCCAGCTAAAATGTGTTTTCCTCAACAACACTGTCTGATGTCTTTTCTTTTTTGCTTCCTCTGACACGTCAGGAGATGAGAGTTGCTTTGTGTTAGCCTGCCACACTTTCTATTTTGGGACGGACTTTGTAAGAAGTGTAGTTTGGCTGGAAGTACATCCGTGCATCTCTTATGTAATTCCCTCTAATGGTAACACAAAAATCCCAAAGAACGTTTGTATGAAGAGACTTAATCTTAAACAGAGTTAAATCAAAGCAGCTGGTTTCAGAAGACTCGGTGGTGACTCGGTGGTGTAGTGGTTAGCACTGTTGCCTCCCATGCAGAAGATCCAGGTTCGGCTCCACCCAAAAGTGGTGTACTTCCAATGCTAAAACACAATGCATCCAGCATGTCAACGTACATTTGAAATGGGTTCCAAATTCAACTCCACCCAACGGTTCCTCTGCCTCTTCCAATGCTGGCTTCAATTCACTCTAGTCAGCCTGATCTCCAAAACCTGTTCGTAAAAATGTTTACAAAAATCTTGAACCTATAAATTCGTAGTGATACATACAAAATAAATACGGACTGCAACTGATGACGTCACCCTATTCAAAGTGAATGGGGACCTGCACCCCGTAAACACACTTTGTGAAGTCTAACGATGTAAAATAAACATGTTATTATTGAATTTTTAACGAAAAATCAATGTTAACTTGCAAGACTACAATACTAACCCTAACCCCTTCAAAAAATCCAACATGGCGGAGAGACGTTCACTCAAGAATCCAACATGGTCCGCCATGTTGTTCACTCAAGGGGCGCGGTTAACCACCGCCAGTTCGTATGTATTGTTACGATTTTCTATGTTCAAGATTTTCGTATACATTTTTACGAACAGGTTTTGGAGATCACGTTGCTCTAGTAACTGTAAAACACTGTGCATCCAACATGTCAAAGCACATTTGAAAAAAAAAATCAGAAAATATTTTGCAAAAAATATAAAATATAAAATTATTTGTGCGCTCATGTTGTGTCATCATGAGCGCGGACTGACGACAAATCAGAATGTCCAGATTCTTCCTTATATCTCATATGTCAGACCAGCATGAAAGCTAGTCGGAGCAGTGGAGCCGTAGTCAAACAGGTTTCTGCTTTAATGTTGTTGCTTTGTGTTGGTAGCAGCTTGATTGATCCCTGTTAGAGGGGCCTCTAATCAACAGAGGGGCATTGATTTCCTCTTCACAGAGCCTAGAAGCTGCCTAGGACACCTGCTAGCAGCCAGCTGACGGACACGTATGCCTGCTAACCAACAGCTGACACAAACTGATGCCAATGCACTGTGTTTGAGAGGGTGAGTCACACGTGCTCGGATAGATCCCGCTCTCGGGATGTTGGATGCCGCACAATGTGAGATCCTCTGTTCGGTCTGATTCTGAATCATATCTCGCACACGTGGTGCGTCACAGATGGAGCAACGTGATCTCCAGAACCTGTTCGTAAAAATGTATACGAAAATCTTGAACATACAAATTCGTAACAATACATTCGAACTGGCGGTGGTTAACCCCGCCCCTTCAGTGAACAACATGGCGGACCATGTTGGATTCTTGAGTGAACGTCTCTCCGCCATGTTGGATTTTTTGAGGGGGTTTGGGTTAGTATTGTATTCTTACAATTTAACATTGATTTCACATCGTTACACTTCACGAAGTGTGCTTACGGGGTGTAGGTCCCCATTCACTTTGAATAGGGTGACGTCATCAGTTGCAGTCCATATTTATTTAGTATGTATCACTATGAATTTGTATGTTCAAGATTTTCGTATACATTTTTACGAACAGGTTTTGAAGATCAGGCTGGATGGAGACTCGGTTAGCTGTGGTGTTTCGTAACTGAGATGCATGCAGGGAAGGTATGAAGATAAAAACGTGTGATCATCTACTGTGTGCACGCAGTGTAAAGGTAAGCTTCCCTGTAACAAAATGAGCCCTGTCAAAACAATAAATCGTCCCGGGCTTCAGCCCCATCAGCACACTTTGTCAGTAGTGATTTGTGTTTTCCATGAGAGTGCTTCAATAAGCACTTTTCCAGTGTAACTCACATGCTCCCCGTGCTACGGCTCACAGCCAACTGTCCCCATCATCAGCTCAGACAATGCACAAGGCTGTGGCGAGCGAAGACTTTGGGCACGGCCAGCTAAGCAAGGCACAATATAACTGATTTGTTGTCTTGCAAAATGTAGGACAACAAAGATTACGTGTTGTATCAACATTCTGTTGCGTCAAGAAAGAAAGAAAGGAAATGAACAAGTGGCAGGAAAATGTATGTACAACGTGAGGCCATCACTAGAGCAACACTTTGACAATATATCTCTGTGATACACGATTAATAGGATTTATGAAATTATAACAGCATTTGTATCAATTTCATAACATTTTACGGACCTATTTACAGGATAATCAATATTCTAGAAAATGAGTGGTGCATAATGGGTTATGAAAACCAGCAGAAGATGCATGTCATTTTCTCATCACCATGTATAATGCATGTGCAACAGTGGATGCCAGGCAGCTTTTTTTGTTTTAATCTGTCTGCAAACTTACAAAGAAAATGTAAATGCCGCCATCGCTTTTGCCTGGTGATGAAGAAGAAGCAGAGTACTAAACATCCTCCATAGCAGCAGGGAAACGAACAGACAGCAGCTCCTCCGGATATACGGCCACGCAGAAGTCCTCCGGGCTCCATGTTCCGAGACGAACACACAGCCCGCATTGCTGTTCCGAGACCGATCACCCACCACGGCTCCTTCCAACACCCCCCCGCCCCCCCGCAGCCTCCATCCACCGTCATAAAAACACGCACGACCGCGCCTCCAGAGGCACGAGCACAGGCGCAGACACACCTCCTCTTTCCCCTCCATCAATATACGAATTCTCTCTCTCCCTCTCTATCACACACACACACACACGCACACACACACACACGCACACATACGCACGAATACGCGTAGAGCTATAAGCGCCTCTGAGAGGATCGCCCGGTGAAGTACACAACATGTGAGGCGGAGGACGAGTGATCTGCTGCGGGAGGCTGACGGGAGGTGCGGGAGGGGGCCGAAGCTGCACCTTGCGGGGAAAGAGACATGCTCGCCGCATCCGATCCACCAAACGGCGAGGCGGTAAGGCCCCATTCGTTCACTCGCCAAATCGTTTGATTTTCCAAACTTAGCGAAAGTCATGGCTGCTCCCCCCCCCCCACCCACCAACCCACCGCTTCCCTGGTGGTCTCTATCCTGGTTTGAACCGCATTTTTCCGCCTTTTCTTCGACTGACTGCAAAGGATTTTATTCGTGGCTCAAAGGCATCGGGTCAGCCATAGAGGATGGAGGTGGGGGGGCGTTCGTGCCGCAGCACCAAAATAAAAAGGGTGTCGAGGTGCGTTATAGCGCAAGTGTTTGGTAACGCGTCGAGCGTCACTGCGCCTCGGCGCGGCTCCCTGTGGAGGTCTCAGGCAGATCGGGTCTCAGATCTGGATTGCATTTGGTTTTGTGTAAAAAAAAAAAATTGCACAATGCAGTCGAAGTTTTTAGTTGCAAACCCTGACAGGAAAACCAACGAACGCTATTATATCAGTATGGTTGGTGTATCCTTATAAAGTCAATATAAAGTAGCACTTGTGTGCCACAGATGGATTTGGGCCACACAAACAATATTATAGACATTCATAGTGAACGGGAGGTTTTCAGACTGAAATAGTTCCCTGTATGTGTAAGCCCGACCGTGTTTCTTGGCTGTGTGCTGTAGTCATGGAGACAGAATGTGGCACGCAGTTTTATGCTTGTGCAGGAAAGTGTACTCCCTTTATTCAACAACACAGACGAGGAAGGAATACACATACATTCGGTCAGCCTAGCTGTTCACCCTGTTCTATGATTTAAAAATAGATCATTACCATATTATCACTGTTGAGAAAAGTAAATCTAATTGATTATCCTAAATTTAAGTGATCAATCTTGCCAACTGGTTGTCCTTAACAATCTTTTCCTCCATTCAATCGTGCATATCTAAGAGGAGTATTTTGAAATAAACGAAATAAAAAATCAGGTAAAGCAGCAAATAGACATTGTGGGTTTGTTTTTCACGGTCATGTGTGAAAAGACGTGATATTTGGGTGTGTTGTGGAGGCTTGACAGGGGATGGCTGGTCACTCCTCCTTCATCACGATGAACAGATGGTAACTCAGCATTAGCTTGTTGGTGGATGCCAACAAGGAAGCCCATGTGTATAGCTCACATAAATCCATTGTTGATGCAAAATAATTTTGTCCATGAAAATATTCAAAGCCCTTAAATCTTTTTCCTTATTATTTATGTTTAAGCAAATATTCACTGCAGTTGTATGTATATATTTTCACTCCTAAGATGTAAATAATTCAAACAGTAGAAAACAGCAATTCTTTGTGGCATTGCATTTAAAAAACATTGTAAAAATGAAGATAGGTTATTGTCCTCTTTTCAGATACAGTAGCTTTTCTTCTTAGGTTTCTAATATTAGCGTGTAATTGGTTATAGGACCAGGATTGAATGGTAAATCAGGATATGCCTCAGTTATGCTGTGAGATGAATCTAAATTAACCACATATCATATTTTCATTTGAAAGTTATTTGAAAAGCGTTCTTAGTATTGTTTCAAAATGTGTTTATTCACGACTAATATACAATTTTACCAATACCAATTTGGTATTACGCATTTTAATTTAATAAGACACATTCTTGTTAGCTGAGCAGGATAATGTGAATAGTTTTAGCATACAATGTCTCTAGTCAAATCAAAAGTTTACATTGTCATTTTCTGTAGTATGATTGCATACAAACTGCCTCGTCAAATGTCCAAAGTTATCTCATGGAATGAACTTAGATGGCAAATTAGGCAAGTTGGCCTCTACAAGTGCAGAGATCATCATTACAGGCCTCTGTATCATGTGGTCAGATTCACATCACTGAGTCAGCTTGATAGAGGATTTTAAATAAAATGTATCAACATTTTTTTGAGTGTTCAGGGATTTGGTTGAGTAATCAAACATATCCTGATCCCACTATTGCTGTATGCAGATTTAAATTGCATTGAAGGATATTTGTTTTCTTCTCTCTTTCTTTCCTCAGGCTGTGGTGATCTTGAATTACACTGAACGGAGAGCATTGCTGTTCCTTTAAGATGACACGAACGCATGCCCCTGATATACTGGCATCAACTCTATATGGTGACTTTCCTCTAAATCCCCTCAGCGACCACTCCATTTCTCTCCACTCTTCCCGCCAATGTGACTTGAAAATGATAGACAAACCAGAAATCGTCAACAAAAGACACTGCCGTAGCTTCGACTTCATCGAGTCACTGGATGAACCGCAGTCCCTCGCTTCCTCGATGGAGTACCCTTATAAGAGGGTGGAGCAACAGACATTAAACAAAGATCTAATGCGGAATGGACTAGATCAACCTGGGCACCTTCGCTTTTCATCTCCCGATCTGTTCAACACCAGACAGTTGCAGCAGCACACCACGCAGGATAAAACCAGTCATCTTACATGGTCAGACTCTAAAAAGAGAACAAGATCTAGAAGCGCTCCAAGATTTAAATCCACCCTTACTGCTGTGCCCATCTCCGTGTCCCCTCTGGGAGCCGGAAAGGGGAGGGACGGAGTTCAGACTGCGTCAGATACCTTCAGGACTTCTGAAACACACGGAGAATCCTACTCCTCGAACAAGGCTTTTTTGAATGAGGTGCATCCTATCAAACTGCAGCCTCAGACTCCCCTCTATGTCTCAGACTGTTTTGAGGAGGGTAAACCTGATAAACCAGCCATAACCCCTCACGTCAGGTGCCGGGTTGACATTAAACCAGATGCTGCTGTACTGCAGCACGCGTCTAGGCAGGTTCCCAATGTACGAACTGAGAATCCTTGGCAGCGATACTCCCAGGCCAGCAGCAGTAGAGGTTTGTATGTACCTCGACAGATTGTGTCCTCACCAACGCCCACTGCAAGCGAGTGCTACAGTGGAGATTTTAGACAAGGATATCACTATACCACCAGCATGTCTCCTATCTCATACCAGCATGTAGACACGCACAGAATGCCTTCACCAACAGCACCATATCTCAGTCAAGATCAAAGAGCTTACTCAAATCCTAACATACCTACCAAGTTTTTCTATACAGAGGACCCAATTCGGTACCAAGTCCATCCCTATTCTAGAACATACTTTCAGGATGACAGGTCCAGTCTCACCAGCCATGGCAGTACAATGAATAGTCAGTACGATCCAAGGACTCGATGGGTGCACACCCTTCCCGTCAGGTCGTATTACACAGAAAATGTTTCCAACAGAGAGCCAGCACACTCGGTGTATAGTAGGCCTTACTCCACCAGTGAATCGGGATCATACTTTTCTCAAACTCCACTGTCTAGACCTTACTACAGAGAGGACAACCAGTCCAATCCATACTATATGAGTAACTCAAGGCTGTTTTATTCCAAACCATGCTCTCCTGAGGAGCAATACTTTCCATCAAGGCCATACCATACGGAGGGTCGTCGACGCCCTCGAATGTCGCAGGCCTTTTCAGATGACTGGTATCGCTCAAGTATATCTGGTTACTCTAACCAGTCTTCTCAGCACACACCACCAAGAGTAAATCAAGACCCCAGTTTACCCCCATGGTTTACTAACAGCTGTTTGGAAACAGGTAGATTAGGAGCAGAGGTCAGAAACCACTCAAAGTCATGGGACAATATTCTACATCCACGGTACGAAAGACAGCAATCGGTGCCTCGTGGTCGAAGCTATGAGAACCTGTTTCACCAAGCAAAGCATGCAGCACCCTCTGACATACAGAGTCAACCTGTCATACTTAACCTATCAAGTTCACCGAGACGCTACGCTGCCCTTTCGCTCTCGGAAAGCTCATTAGAGAGGGGCTCAAGCAATCCGTGGGGAAATACCAAGAGTGGGCACTGGTTTGTAACTCCTGAGATCACCATAACAGATAATGACATAAATGCAGGTAACAGCAAGAGGCGCGATGTCCACTCTGTCAGCTGGGATCTCGCGGACGGTGAAAAGATACAATCTCCAAGAGTAATGCCTCACAAGCAGTCACAAAATGCACAGGACATAACCAAAGAAAGGAAACACAACAACTTCTCCCTTCAGCAGAGTTTGGAGCAACTTGACGAACTCTTAGCTGATTTGGTCGTTGACTACAAACCACCAACAAGCAGAAAGTCTAGCGTGGACCTTCTAGACCAGCTGAAGATGCTAATCACTACAGATGACAACAAAGACAGAGGATGCCCGAACAAACAGCTCCCATCATCTAAATCCAGCCCTGACACAATCAAAGACCCCGATAGTGGGTTTGATGCTTTACAAAGAAGTGCAGAAGAATGTTCTCCAGACCACAGTACAGATGATGACGACACTATGGTGTGTGCCAACAAGAAGTGCAACCGGATTGAAACCATGTTCAACGCCTGCTTGTACTTCAAATCGTGTCACAGTTGCTACACCTTTTACTGCTCACGAAACTGTCGCAGAGATGACTGGGAGATCCATAAGGAGACCTGCCTGTATGGCCGTGTCAACAGTGTGTGTCGACGTTCTCTTAAGTTCTGCAGAGAGAATGCAGAGATCCACAAAGCCTTCTCTCGGGTTGCCAAAGCTGGCTATCTCTCCAGAGGGAGAGGCGTTCTCTTTCTGGGTTTTGCTAATCCGGAGACAGCTGACAACTTCCTGCAAGTTGGACTGGAGAGTCTCCTCATGTCTCCCACATACTTATCCCTCAGAGAGCTGGACGGCTTCAAGGACAACCTAGGGGAATACTGCAAGGAACTGCAGCAGGCAGGTGACGAGTATGATCCCGATGAATGTTTCCTTCTGAATGTATCCGTAGCAGTTGGTGAACTTGTGCCTAACAGACCTTCGCCGAGGGTCCCAGCACCAACAGTTCGAAAATATGCAAAGGTGTCCTTGGCCTCCTCAAGCCCTGACAAAAAGGTACTCAGGAAAGATAGTGAAATGGAAACTCTCATCCTCACTCCGCCCCCAGGCACCCCGGACATTGACAAGGAGGGAGAGGAGGGTAGGAAAGCCAGAGAGGTGTGCTTTGTTAATATCCAGCGTGAGCTAAGGACCAGGGGAGTCTTCCTTCGTCATGAGAACCCCAGAATCTATAATCAGCTGTGTGAGTTTGTGGAGAGCAACAAAAGGTTCACTCCAACTACAATTTACCCAATTGATAAAAGAACAGGGAAACAGTTCATGTGCATGATCATGGCTGCGTCCGAGCCAAGAACACTGGACTGGGTTCGTACCCCTCATCTCTTGGATGATATTATATAGAACAGCACTAAATAGTTACCATAATGATGTCAGCTACACAAAATATACACACTGTAAATACATGGTGTCATTCAGCAAATTGATATGGAAATGTGTGTATGCCCGTGACCAATCTCTCCTACTGTTATTTCTGCGTTGACACACACACAAACACTTGTTCACATAACACTTACAGTATATATTTACACTTTGTTTTTGGCTTGTTTTGATCCTTTTCCACTCAGACAAGTTAACACCCTGCATGTAGACTAAGACTAAGTTACCCAGGTGTTGGAAATGTGAACATGAATGATCTGTGCAGTTTCTGCAGACAATGTCTGGATATTTATGAAATAGACATTGCATTGTTACAATATAATAGTAGGTTCAGCCAGGTCTCATGTTGTTACCATTATCCATTATGGATTTCTCCAAAAAATGTTATATCAGACATGTATATTATAACTTGTCAGTGGTTGTAATATTACAACTGTTTATTTGTACTTAAGTATAATGTAGTCGTGAGTCGAGTATATTTTGATTTCCAATGTTATTATTGTTTAATAGACAAAGACAAACAATCAAACCACCTATTTGTTTCGGACTTAATTAAGAATTTTAATTGTGATAACACTTGATGTCATTCTTGTATAAACTGCTTTGTTTAAAAGTGGCCTTTAGTTGGAAGAAAATGCATTTGACAGAAAGCAATGTATAGGTTTAGCTATTTCTAAAGGCTTGACAGTTAACTAAGATTGTTTGAACTACCATTGTAAATTAGCTATTTTGCTCAAAGCATGTTATTTATATTCAGGTATTTTAATATGGATATTGCTTATAATTATATTTATCATTTGATGCTTAGACAAAATATATGGATATAGATATCTATATATATTGAATATTAGATAATTTGAACATCATGACCTTCAGACCTTCTTGTGACTAATACCACAGTATGCTTTTAAACAATATGCAATAAAAGAGCAAACTTAATATCTATATTGTAAAATCCTATTTTATTATTAATATTAAACAATTGCCTGGAGCCAAGAGCTGTAAAGACCTTGTATGCACTAAAACATAAATTCTAAAATGAGAATGTTTCTAACACAACTGCAGCATTTAACCGGGATGTGATGATATGCCTGCTTCCATTGCCAGTGTTAACTAATGTGTTGAGGTTGCTCTTTTACTTGATTCTATATCTTTGTAAAATACCTTCCTTAACTTTCTATTTTGTGATGTTTATAACCCATATATAAATATAGAATAAATGGAATTCAACAAGTGACCTTGTGTACTTATCTTCTTGGGTACTTTATATTTGGCAATTGCATGATAAAATAATATGGTTCTCATCAATTAGACTTCTACATTGATCAACGGATTCTCTCAACAATGTTTTTAGATTATCTTAAATAGCAAGGTGAATCTTTATATATATATAAAATTAGTATTAATATAATACGTATCAATAACATATAACAGGCTGTTCATTCAGGGATTTTCCCAAGGTGTCTTTCTTTTTTGTCATTAGACCACCACCTAGTGGAAGGATGCAATTTCTCACCCCCATGTGAGCGGCACTGAATATCGCTGATTTCCATAAATGTGCCAGTGCATCTAATTTTAGGTGTAACCACACAATTTACTGCCTCAGCATGTGTATTCATTTATTTGTAATGAATACCCTTTAGAACTATGTCATTCGGTTTTAATTAAAAAATTCTCTTAGAAATGGTCAAGATGGAAAAGGTGAAGACTTTTAGTTTGATTTTGTACTACATTGTAATATTGCAGTGCTGTCAGGGATTGGTCAATCAATTTTAGATTTTAATACTAAGAGAGTGGACCTCTATCAAAACAGTTGTTACAATCCCTTCAATCATAGATTACTCATTTTCCCTTTTAATTATTTTTTTTATTTTGTCAGATAATAGAACTCATGCACAAAAAGTTACTATATTAAATGGATATTACAAATAGGGAGAATTTTAGACAACAAAGAGTACGGACTAAAAATGAACTTTGTTTATTTAAGATAGACTTGAATATAATGTGAACTTATTATTTAACTAGCAAGAGTTATTGCATATGATATTATAAATCCATCTTAATCTGAACATTTAAATACACATTACAATGGCATTACAATTGCAAACAATAAATAAAGACAAATATGGAGTCCAGTTATTAAATGGACACACACAAGCCTGACAGAGAGAATTCATGAATCATAAGCTATCACACAAAATTAGATTTCAGTCAGATAATAAACTAGAGAGAGGATGTGCCATAAAGTGGCTCACTCACTAAAGTGTTTCACTGTGGATGCGGTTTCTGATCTTTTGATCGCAAGCCTCTTCTCAGATCAAACAGTATATACCTATATATGTATACATACTATACATATATAGTATAGTACCAAGTTTGGAAAAGTCAAAAGTTTGGACACATTTCCTCATTCAATAAATATATAAAATGATTTCAGTCACAAGATCCGAACAGGTTGCTACACAAATACAGGGTTTGGAGTCCAAACTCTGAGAACAAGTGAGATAATGTGAAGAAAGGAATACCACCATATAATCAGGACGAGGGCATCGCAGGAACTTGGATGTTGTTTAGATATTATCCACCAAGATAATATCTAAACAACAGCTTGTGAATCAGAACATTCCGAAAGGTTGTGATATGTAAGTTTCCATTCAAAATGGCTGTAGGACTTGTCATAAATTGCACATACTGTACTGCCGACCCAATAAGATGATGCGAAGGCCCGCTTGTGGAAAAGCTTCCTTAAACAAGCTTCTGCGCATGCGGGGTGCGCATGTCTCCTCGTGATGACAGCGAATGACAGCACCGTCCGCTCCTGCAGAAGCCTGTGTGAGACGGCTAACCGCCAACACGCAATTCCTCTCGCTCGAGAAATCTCTTGTTCAGCCGCGTTTAGCGAAATAGCGAACAACCAGTAAAGGCCAGTAACGTTTGGTAAGTTGCTGATTTTTATGTTGGCTTTTTTTGCTCCGTCGCATTTGGACACCGAGTCGCTTGCAGCCCGGAGCTAAGCTAAGCTAACGTGGCTAGCTAGCTCGCCGTTAGCTTCACCCCGTTTGACTGGCAAAGCGAGTTCTAACTTGGTTAACGTTAGCAGGCTCCTGCGAAGGGTTGGCCAGGTCGCCGGGTTCCTGCCCCCTTCTCCTTCTCAAGTCAGTGCAAAACACGAGCCCGTGTTTGACTGCCGACAGTGTAGCGAACAACGGGGGCTGTTGTCAGTGTCCTCCGTAGCATTTTAACGTCAGTCGATCCAACGTTAGCGTTTGGATTCGCGGTCGGTTTGAAAAGCTTCTCTTGTCGTGTGTTTACTGGATCACACGGGAGCAGACGTTCACTTAACCTAAACCACCGCTGTGTTTTGGGTAAATCTCGGTTGGCAAGTAAGTGATAAACATCAAGGACACGAGTAACCTGTCACACTCGGGACATGTTTCAGCTTTAGTCTCAAGTGCGCCCACACACACACACACACACACACACGCACACATTGAGCCCGTTAGCTCAGTTATAAGTTATAGGCTAATAACGGCAGCACTCAGACGGGGTCTGTGTCGCGAGGCTTGTGAGGACATGGGAGACAATAGCGTTCAGCCGTTCCACATGGTCCTCGTCCCTTTGTAGCAAAGAGGTAATTGTCTCCCCATTTTGTTCGATGGTACCGTTGACGATTTGTCAGATGAAAAATAAGTAATTCTTTCTTAACTTTTCCCAGTTACAACTCATCAAATGTTACATGGTGCTGCTTAGGTCATCGAATTGAATACAACTGAGTTTTTATTGCCCGAGAGCATGCGTTTATAAAAGAACATAAAAATACCGTCGTCACCCCGCCCCGTCTTTGACGATCACTGCTGTTAAGTGCACTGATTCAGCATTGTGTTATATCTGCATTTGCTTAGTTTGTTGTGTAAATATGTATTGATCTGCAGTATTCATTCATAGTGTCTAAGTGATCTGATACTTTGACCAACAACATATCATTTCAGTTTAATATAGTTACAATATACAATTTCTAACATTCTGCGAAGGACATGACTGCGTGTGTGTGCCGTTTGCTGCACATTGTCATGAGATCTGCTTTGCATCATAATAATGCCAGATTGGGCCATATGTCTGTCTTAATATTGTCCACAGCAAACCCTTTGTACCCATCATTTCACTCAGTAATTTAGAGTGAATGCCATAGGCAACAATAGATGGTGTGACCCACCTACACGGGTCCCTCAGAGGGCCAAAAAGAGGCTGGATGTGCTGGCAGAGAGAAAAGTTAGTTGTAATTTGAAAAGATGTAAGGTAAAGGGACGACTTGTGTTTGGGACTATTGTGTGCAATTCTTTTTTGGGCAGTGTGTTGTCTTAGAGCAAGTGGACATGGTGACACATTCACTTGGCTTTGGCTTTGGCGGCCACGAGGGAAGAGAAGCTAGCGTTGTGGCCACCAGGTCGCTTACTCTTACACTCTTATTATATAAAATCTAAAATGTGAATGGGTGCAGTGATGGAATCATGGTGGCTTGTCCGATCATTCAACAAGTGGTTTGATCAGGGATCACTTATCCAATCAGCAGAGCAACTTTTAGAGATGATCATTTCTGACATTACTAATTGCAGATAATTGAATATGCATATTGGCTGAAACAGATCCCTTGTCGTATGATTATAACAGCTGGTCTACAAGCCTCCAGACCAATGTTTTTTGCCACTGTCCTAAAAATGATTTTAACCACTCAAGTCAATGTAAACCGCCAAAGACTCTGTTATCCTTTGTTTTTTCCTATAGTCATTTATGTCCCATAATAGTGTAAATTATGTATTATAGGCTTTTTAGACCTAGTGTAAGAGCTCATAATTCCCTTTATTAGCTATTTATGTTGTGAAAGCTCAACAACTGAATTTATTAAAGTTCCCTCACCAGCTCTACATTTGACAAGATTACATTTAAAACACAACTTAACATTATATTTCAACGTTGACTAAACGCAACCTGAACTCATCGTAATGTTACTGAACCTTGAAACATTCTCCATCAGCGATGCCTGCACAGTCCTGTCAATCCAAACCTCCTCATCTACGGTCTGTGATTTCAACAGAGATTTTGTTGTTCACAACCGTATCAGAGATTGACGACTAGAAAAGCATGAATGTCTTGATTGCATATTTGTCTGAATAGTAGTAGTTATACCCGCTCTGGTGGTGGATAAGGTTAAACTGTGGGATTTGTCTGCAGTTCACATGCATGCCGAACCTTGAGGGAGGGATCCTAATCACAGATCGACGATGATGCGTTGATCTGATGATCTGAACCTAATGATGGGAAAGGTCCTTCTTTAATCTCACGTACTTGGTGTGTGTGTGTGCTCGCTGAGTGGTGTGAGAGATTACGTGAACGGGAAGTGTGAAGAGGATGTTCGCTCTGAAACATGAACACCTTTTGTGGAAAGTGAAATCTATATCTATGAAAATGATTTTTTTGTTGTCTGCGTGTGGGAGGGAGGCAGGGAGGGAGGCGGCGGCGTTTTCCAAATACCTTTGCTCACGTGCTTTGCTATTAACTGATATTTACTTCAGAAAGTAGTATTGTTACTGGCTTTCACATTATTATAGTATTATTATTAAAATCATCTCTTTTTCTCTGCGCTGCCGTGTCTTGACAATTGTATTGCTGATGTAATGGATGAAGACTGCTCTCCTTGTCACTATGTTAGCAGTATTCAGCACAACTACAATCACAGTCGCACAACTTGGAAGGTTGCAGAATTACTTTTCCCTTCGCACAGGCTGTTGTTTGGTTTCTCTTCTGCTTTCTGAGTTCCTCAGTGTTCTCCACGACACACTCCCCAGGTGGCTTTTTGCTTTGTGTTGTATTGGATCCGACTGGCACAGGAGGCCGTGGCAAATGCAGCCGACCTCACCGCTAGCCACTCAATAGCTTTGTTTTTTTTTTTCTCACTTCCTTCCAAGTATGTGAGGAATGTGCTTATTTAAGAACATGACGGGAAGTGGACCCTGAGTGTACTCATCAACTCATTTCGTGCAGCTCCGTTCTGTAAGTTTACAAGTAATGCAGCACCAACAACCACTCAAAACACTTATGATTCATTGTTTGTTTCGGCACCGTGCAAGAATGTTACCTCCCTCAAATTTGAATAGTTGCTGGTTAAGGCAAACACTGACAACGGCCACTTCTCCTACAGTCCGTGAAGAGCCAGGAAGCACGATTATTCTCCTTCTGTTCACCCAGGGAGTTCAATGTGGAAGCTATCTTTACGTATTTAAATCTGTATGACCAATTTTATTTGTCAGACACATCAGCTCTGACGCTGTGGTTGTCCGTTGGCTTGTGAACAATGCCACTGTCTTGCCGTTAGTCCCACTATGAGGCAGTTCTCTCCAGTCTCGTCTCATTCTTCTCCCAGAACCAGAAATCCACGGTGAAATCTGTCCCTGCAATGTCTTCAGCCAGCCACAAAGAGGCTTTTGTGCAGATAATTCACCAAGAAAGCATTTAAATTTCATGCACTCGGCTTGGTTTGTATGTCTTGGCTGTGTGTATCTGGAAAAGGGAGAGGGATTTGCATATTGTGCCTTTTGGCATCTCCTGAAGCTTGTGAAGAGCGTACTTTTGTTGTTGTTGTTGTTGGCTGTGTGTGTGTGAAGCACATGGAATGCAAATCATCACTTCCCTTGTTTTACGTGAGCATCTTGTGTGAGGCTGTGATATCATGACATTGCTTTACTTTGGAAGGTTAACAATAGTTTTTTTTAACACTTTTCCACAATGATATAAAAGAGGAAAGCAATTAATTCTCTATTTGGAGAAGCTTCAACAGGAAGAACGTGTTTTCCTTTGATAAATGACATTAAAGATAGTTGATTGTCAAAATTATTTCTAATTATAATTTTTTTTTAAATCATAAATTGTGTCGTGAAGCATATAATAAGAAAACTCTTGACATTGGTTCAGGTTTGTTTCTTGCACTTGACAATAAATATATATAAACATTTTACTTTTTTTGGTAATCTGATTTTGGTCCAACATTTGATATACAGTTGTTTTAGTTGTTGAGCGTTGTTTCAGTACGAGGTATTCACCTATTTCACCCTTTTTTCTTTTCCAGAACTGACCTTTCTGCCTGTGAGCTGGTGAAAATGGTGAAGCCAGACATCCACACTCTGGCCCACCACCTGAAGCAGGAGCGGCTGTACGTGGCATCGGAAAAGCAGCTGATCCAGAGGCTCAACAGTGATGTTCTGAAGACAGCTGAGAGACTGTACCGGGCCGCGTGGATCGCTAAGCAGCAGAGGATCAACCTCGATCGTCTCATTCTCACCAGGTCAGACCGGCCGTCGGGATCCACTCGGGCCTTTTTTTTTTTTTAAGAACAGGAAGAGCGCAACCTTTTTATAAACGTGCATTTAACAGTGAGATGAGAAAATTGATTTGTCTCTGCATAAAGTACAGAGGTGCAGTCATGTTGTGATTGGCCTTGCTTAGCATAAAGAGAGGAGTCTGGCGACTACATTTTAGCCTGTCTCCCTCTAAGGTTAAAACAAACCACACAAAACCGTGGTATAAAAGGATAGGTTGTCATGCCTGTGATTTATTATCAATGTTTCTTGGTTTTACTGTCAACAGAAAGCAGTTTTGAAAGAAATATGCAGTTTGTTGTCAATTAATCGTTAAAATAATGGTAAACGCAAATACTCATTCATGTATGTATGTCAATGTGACACGATGATCCCAAGCATTTCTGAATGAATCTTTTTTTTTTTGTACTCGTAAGAACATTATTGATACCATGTGGTGTTTTTACAAGTGAGACCTTGATCTTTGAGCATGCAAGGACATTCATCTTAATTGTCTAAAGCTTGTTGTGATGTTGTCAGAACAAGGTTGAGGGATGTGTCGCTTACCACATAGAAAACCTGTGTACCCTAGTGCGAGGAAATGACATATTATAATCATTATATAAGTTGTTGGTACATTAGCAATAATGAAACCACTCTGTTCTACAGTGCCGAGGCCTCTCCGGCTGAATGCTGCCAACATGCCAAAATGCTGGAAGACACGCAGTTTATTGATGGCTACAAGACTCTGGGCTTCCAGGAGACTATCTATGGCGAGTTCGTGGCCAGGTTAAGGGAGAACCCCAGACTTGTGGCTTCCTGTCTGGTGGCAGGAGAGAGGCTGAACCAGGAGCACAGCCAGGGAGTCACCTATACCGTCTTCACCTCCCTTTATGGCAACTGTATTATGCAGGAGGACGAGAGCTACCTGCTCCAGGTCAGTGACCCGCACCGGTCTCCAGTTTTGACCATTTTAAAAGGCGTAAAGTAATCGGCCATTGTTTTCTTTCTGTGCACAGGTGTTGAGATATCTGGTTGAGTTCGAGCTGAAAGAGAGTGACAACCCTCGGCGCCTTCTGCGGCGGGGAACCTGTGCCTTCAGCATCCTTTTCAAGCTCTTCTCCGAGGGCCTGTACTCAGCCAAGCTCTTCCTCACCGCCACCCTCCACGAACCCATTATGCAGCTGCTGGTGGAAGACGAAGACCACCTTGAGATCGACCCGGCCAAAGTGACCGAGCGCCTCACTCCGGCCCAGCAGGAACGCTTTGGAGAGAAGGGCTCCGAGGGCTACAAACAAAGGGTGCAGACGGCCGTGGAGGCAAATGAAGCCAAGCTGGTAGCTCTGGTCAACAAGTTCATCGGTTACCTGAAGCAGAACACCTACTGCTTTCCGCACAGCCTGCGCTGGATCGTGTCGCAGATGTACAAGACCTTGTCGTGCGTGGAGCGCCTCGAGGTGGGGGAGGTGCGCACCATGTGTACAGACCTGCTGCTGACCTGCTTCATCTGCCCCGCCATCGTTAACCCCGAGCAGTACGGCATCATCTCAGACGCCCCCATCAACGAGGTGGCCCGCTTCAATCTGATGCAGGTTGGTGGCACAACAAGTCTTCCGTCCACACGTCGTACATGCCGGAGGCGTTCCACAGTAAGGGGTGATATCGCTGAATGTTTTTTTTTTCTTCTGTTGCACAGGTGGGGCAACTTTTGCAGCAGTTGGCGATGACCAACGATGATGCGGACCCAAGGCGGAAAAGCAGTTTGGCCAAATTTGACAAGGTTTGTGAACCGCGGTAACATTTAGTTTATTTCAGCCAGAGGCCAATGTATTTCTCCTTAGACTAATCTTTGTCTCTGTCTGCAGAGTTGTGTTGCTGCGTTTCTGGATGTGGTGATCGGAGGAAGGGCCGTCGAGACCCCACCCATGTCCTCAATGAACCTCCTTGAAGGCCTCAGTCGGACGGCGGTCTATATTACACACAATCAGCTGCTCGTGCTGGTGGGCTCTTTTGCAATTGATATCCAAATGTGTCCTTGGCCACAATTTCGAGGTTTTAGTTGCTATGAGCCACGAACCTGTTGTAGATCTTGGCATTCTAAGGATTCTAGGTACTCTCTATGCACAGGCTGCTTTGACTCTCTGCCTCCAGTCGCATAATTCCCTGAAACAACTACAATTACTTAAAGCAGTTTAAATGCAGAGTTCATTTTCAGGCGGCAGACATTATAACAAAAATGCCTAACCATACAAATCTGGGCTGTAAATATCCTTCTGCAGATGCAAAGTATTTCTTTCTTAGACTAGAGATGTTGATTCAAGTGTTAATTATTCATGCAGAGTTTGTAGTAGTTGTTTCACAAATATCTGGTTAGTAAACATGTCTTCCAGTCAGTTTAGCTCCGTCTCTGTAAAAAACAATTGCCATTGCAGCTCTTATACTTTACCTTAACCTGCTGTCACACTAAATCATTTAGCTGTGTTTACTAGTGAATTACTATCAGGTATATGATACATACAAAGAAAGCAACCCAAATGAGCATCCTGCTTGCAGTTATAAATGGACTAAATTAATCCATGTGAATCCCAGATGAGTCTGTAGCAAACAAAGCAGAAATTTGGTGAGCGGGAAAAGTTATGCATTAACTTACGTCATGAATCCGTGCCCTCAGAGTACAACATATTTCTCAGTACAATATGTTTTGTATCTCAAAACATGGACATGGTTTATTTGTCTAGGAATGTTGTGTTGACTCCAATGAGTGCCATGGTCTAATAATAATAATAATAATAACAACGCTTCTCACTTCCCGGCTAGGTGGACTTTGTGCGTAACGTGATGGCCGGGGACCACCTCCGGGAGGAGGAGCACATGGCTCTGGAGACCCTGGTGGCCAACGTGCCCCAGTCCCGAACTGTGAAGAGCAACAGCCTGGAGCTCACTCCCTCCAACACACCCCAGCTCTCCCCGGCTACCACTCCTGCCAACAAGAAGAACAGGCTCCCCATAGGTACCCGTCTGCACCTCTGTGCCACTGCCACTTTGTGGAATAGATGTACTGACATGCTCAAAGTGATGCAACCTCTTGTCATTTTACCAATATGAGGATCCAAACGATATTTTGCTTCATAGGAATGTCAAAATTTGAAACTATAACTATAGATAAAAGCGTCATGTTTTTTCCTAATAAGAAGCACAATAAACAAGTTGAGTTGAGTGGTGATGACTAGTGAAAGGCCTGTTTTATGGGAAGCTAATGAGCTTCTTCTCAGCTTGTTGTGAAGATAATTAGCATGGCCTGGATTGAGGCTCAATTACAAAAATGACAACCAATTAAATGACCAAATATAAATGAACTAAATTTAATTGGAATGGATGGAAAAGATGCATGGACTACCTTCATTAGCATTTTCAAGACAAATGATGCTGTAGCAACACCCCCTTAATTAGAAATGAACCACTAGTGCTTGCTACTCTGAATGATGACGTTTATAAACACAATCTTAAGTTCATACTTGAAATACTTTACAAATGTACTCTGTATTCTTTCTCCAACCCCCTACTTTGTCCTCTTCCTTTCCTCCTGTGCTGCCACTGAATGACCAGGACAACATTTAGCCGCTATAACATCCTGGGACCCGTCAACCACCACTCTGTCTGCCCACATTGAATTAGTAACCCCTTTTGGTGGGTAGCCTGTCAGTCGTGTTGAAGATGGAGAGGACTTGCAACATGCAACTGTTCTCTCCAACTTGCAACGTGCTATAGAACCTTCATGTAGTTCATGCGCTTGAGTGCACAGTAACCTTCCCGCGTCCCCACTGTGGCAAAGGTGTCCGTGTGCTCCCACCATGCTTGCTTTGCCTCGCACAGTGCTTTTGTTAGCACATCATTTGCTTGTTATTAGAGCTACAACGGCTTTCAGCTCATTTTGATTTCTAAGTTTTTCCTTTTTTGCTTTCTCATTCAGCGGATTATGGCTTTTCACTACCAGGTAGAGTGAAAATAAAAAAAGTCTTATAGTCAATCACTTTTCCTTATGGAATCTTCCCAAGTTATGGTCAAATAAAAAGGGACACTAGCACAATTATGTCCCACAATAATTGTAGCTCTGTGGTGGTGCTCTCTTGGAACATATGGCCTCCACTTATCTCAACTGTAAAACAAGTAATAATGATAATATCAAGGATTATTTGGGCTCTTTGGTTAATAATTGCAGGGATATTGTTTCATTTTCAGATCTCTTCAAATTTCTCAACTGAGTTATTGAAAAAGGTGTGATTATAACCAGTATGCTTTTCCTCGAACCACTTTGACATTTAATAATTGTAAATTTTCTTGAACCCTCATGTAACTCTTGTGTGATGATTGAAGAATTGAGTACGAGACTCATGCAAATGAATAAATATGATGCATATGTAACATAATTTCTATGTTACACCAATGTATAGCTACATAAGGAAATAATTGGAAAGAATCAAAAGGTTCTTTTGACATGTTCTTTATTAAACTGATCATTATAACTTAGAGCTCATTTGCAAGTCATTCTCATTACTTATGAATATAGCGTTGCTGTGACACAACAGATGACGGTCTTGGTTCTCAAATAATATTTGGTGGTTTATGGAAATATTAGTTTTTTCCTTACCAATTCTCTCCAACCAGCAAACGCCCGTAGCCGCAGCCGTACGAACATAGCCCAGGAGGGGGAGGCAGAGGGCAGCTCCCAGGAGTCCATTCAGGAGCTGATGCCAGAGGAGGTGCTTGTGATTTCACTAGGAACTGGTCCTCAGTCGGTCCCTGGGATGATGTCAGAGAATGAGGTAATGTGACTTGAATTAATGCACTCATTTGCAAGAGAGATGATGATGAAATAAATTTGATACTATAATTAAAGGGGAAAATGACTTCTCATGGTTCTCTGCGTCGATGCCATGCTTTTTACAAAGCTTTGTTTGTGTGTGTGTGTGTGTGCTTGCAATGTTATGTAGGTGTGAAGAGACCTTGTATCTCATAAGTAACTTATTTTTTCAACTGGTTGCCTGCTGCCTTTGAATGACATGATGTTGCTTGCAAGACCGACTCAAAGCAAGTTAGAAACACAATGTGTTTAAAAAATAAATTCATATGTTAACATTTAAATGTTTGTCCTCTAGGTTTTGAACCTGCAGTTGGCTGATGGGGCCCAGGGGGACAGCCATGCTGATGACACTAAGCTGCACGGCAAACCAGACAAAACACTGCGCTTCTCCCTCTGCAGTGACAACTTGGAAGGCATTTCGGAGGGTCAGTCTGAAAACACACATATAGCTAAGCAAACGGTTACCCTACTTATTTATAATTATTTATTTGTCTTCTCTCCCACAGGTCCGTCCAATCGTTCTAACTCTGTGTCATCTCTGGACCTGGAGGGGGAGTCTGTTTCTGAGCTGGGAGCCGGACCGTCAGGGAGCAACGGCGTGGAGGCTCTTCAGCTTCTGGAGCACGAACAGGGTCTGTGTCTATTCGATAAGAAAGATAAAAGTTTACAGTGAGCATTCCCTGTCTGACCTACTGTAATTTCATCTTCAGCCACCACTCAGGACAATCTGGATGACAAACTGCGCAAGTTTGAGATCAGAGACATGATGGGTCTGACAGATGATAGAGACATCTCCGAGACGGTCAGCGAAACCTGGAGCACCGACGTGCTCGGCAGTGACTTTGACCCCAACATGGATGAAGATCGGCTGCAGGAAATTGCAGGTGAGGCAAAGCAATGGCAGATTGATCAAGCTACACCGCCTTTGTGATCCTTGGCGTTTAATGAGATGAATTTGTAGAGATGGTTCCTAATTGTTAGATTGAGTAGATTTAGGGAAATGTCATCATCTTGTGGTATGTTGGTGAAATAGCATCACTAGCCTGCTTATCAATTTACCTTGTGACTGCTCTTACATTTTATGCTAAATTTTCTTTTGATCTAAAACAACCCACCAGACAGTTAGTTTGGTGCCTACTTAATCTGGAAACCGATAATGTAGGCCAGTGATTCTTCTTTCATTCTCACAGTTTAATACATACATATATATATATATATATATATATATATATATATCTATATATATATATATATATCTATATATATATATATATATATATATATATTATATATACAAATATACACAAATATATATATATATATATATATACGCAAATTATATATGTGTTCTGTGTTTTAGGAAAATGTAAGACATTATCTTTTTGACTGCAGTAATGCAGTATATCTTTTCTTAGTTGAAGAAAAAAACAGAATGATGTAGTGATTTTTTTTTTTCTAGGTCCAAGAACTATGGATTCAATTATCTTCATTAAAAATTAAATATTCTTATAAAGTGGATGCTTCAAGCTAAAACATTGACTTTCAATGGCAAAATAAGTTATAGTCTGAAGACTACTGTAGAAGATAAACATCTTCAGTAGATGATTATACATCCTTCTGTCTCCTCTGCCTCAGTCTGCCTTGTTGTTCAGTCTTCCCCGCTGCCCGTCTCGCTCTCCTTCTGTCTCTCTGACATTCCCTCAGTCCCTGCAGTCTTATTGACCTTGGTTCCTTCTCATTTGCATCCGCCATTTTTCATTCTTCGGAATATGGCGTTGGGGGACTTTTCCATCATTAAGTGAATTTACAGCGATTTCCTTATGTGTTTTCTCCGAGGGATTGGGTTATGAGATGCACATTAAATATCCATTAATACCTCATTATCCCACTGATAAGATTACCATGATAATGAGGCAGAAATTCTAATTGTTTCACTTCTTGTTGTGCCACTCATTTAATCATCCACCTGAAAGACAAGTACTCTGCGCCCCTACCTTGAAGACCGTAAACACGGACAGCGGGGAGGTGCTCTCCCACGTCCAATGAGAGCCCTGCCTCCGCCAACATCACAACACACTGTTGCCTGGGTGCTGGCATGCATTGGTGGTCATGGTGTGTGTGTGTGTGTGTGTGTTTGTGTGTGGGCGGGCGCCATGAAGTGGAAGCGTGAAATATCAAGGGGAGCGGCTACCACAGGTTGAGTTTTTGGTCCTGAGCCTGGTGCAACTGACTCCCACTCGCACCTGCTAGCTCCTCTGCATTCTTCCGCCTTGTTAAGCCAGGGCCTCCCAAATGGAGATGCGGGGACACCGTGCTGAGGACATTGTGGGAGGGGGGGCTAAGGGGTAATTTGGTCGTGAGTAATGCTAGGTTCAATCTACAGCTCAAAGTCATGGCCCTGGAGGCCGGGGCAGGGTGGGATATTACCATTAACCTCTGACCTTTTGGCAGAGTGGTGTATGGGCCTGTGGGTCCCAGCATGAAATGCATGTGACCTCCAACTCTCTCTGTGACTCTGTATGCAAGGCTCACTGTCTTTGAAGACACCATTTAGAGAGGATTTGTTGACTGTTTTTGCTCATCTCAGGCCGTTTCATAGATACAATACTAATAATAATAAATAATAAATATAATAATAATAAAATAATACATTTGGTAGTATACAACGCTGAAGAAATTACCCATAAAATACTCTTTTAAATTGATAAGTGGATCCAAAAAGAACTGCTACTTTTTTAATCTATATTATAATCATGAATTTATCTTGACGTTTTTAACAGTCTTAGTAGTTTTATGCCATTTGAAGACACAACAGATAATACATTTTTACAATTAGTGGCAGTCTTTGCACCACATCGAAAAACATGTTCAAATGTTTAACTCGTGCCAAAGCTATATTTTCTGAAGTGGTGTCAAGTTCACACGTTGCTCATATTTAGAATATGAATCATTTATCCCAACTAATTACAGAATATTAATCCACACACAGTGCCAAGACAACCAAAAGAGACGTGGTAAAGTCCAAAAATGTGGCTTCAAGAATCATTTTTGGGGGCTTTTTTTTTGGAGGTTACTCTTCCAGTGAAAACGAGCTGTCTCACGCTGTGGACAGAGACCAACCTTTTGTCTCTTTCTCTCTGTGCCCTCAGGGGCGGCTGCGGAGAACATGCTCGGCAGCCTGCTGTGTCTTCCTGGCTCGGGTTCAGTGCTGCTGGACCCCTACGGCTCCACCATCTCGGAGACCACAAGCGAGGCTTGGAGCGTGGAAGTCCTTCCCAGTGACTCGGGTTTGTTCTGTTGTTTTCTTTGGTTATTGAAACCATGAAGGACTTGCGTGTGTGCTTGCATGCACGTGTGTCCATGCGTGCATATTTCTGTTTGTTCGATGGGGGTTGGGACACCAGGTGTGGCTGCACGGCATTCCATATCAGAAATGTGTGAGTGCAGCTGTCATCATATTTGTGCGCACTAGCCTGTCTTTCAGGGCAGATCTGCGTTTGCCAGTAAAAGGCAGCTCAGATTCTCCTTGGAGGGACCACCAGGTGTGTGTGCACCTGTGGTGGAGCGGTGGGGAGGGAAGCCCAAGGACAGCAGCTGTCCTCAGTCACTTGACATGCTACCAGTTTTTCATCTGGACAGACTTAACATTAAGTTTCTCTATAGCTGGTGTTTATGTATTGATGGGACAATAGTCCACAATTTATTGTTTTACGTGGCTCACTGCCAATCCAAATGCTTATACAATGTCATAAGTCGTGGATTATCTAACATTCAGTCTAAACCTTTTTATTAATGGAAAATGATGTGTTTAAATCCCCCTTTTTAAAAACCTGTGTTTTATGAAAATCAGTAGTGCTTTTATTAACAACGTTAAGTGTTCCTTTGAAAACCCTGGGCCTTATGTTAATTGGAGTAGTACAGCATTTCAATGTGTGCAGAGATGACATGCATGAGTGTCTTGATTGCTTTTTGTTCCGTTTGCTACCCCTGTTCCGCTCGGTAATAGCGCGATCGGAGGCTTGCTTGGAGTGGAATGCTTTCATGGCTAGGCAGCAGAAAACTACACTCTGAAGAGCACTTCACCAACACATTATTACTAACGAGCATGCAAATGAGTACTGCTGTTAGTATGGAGCCTCTGGGTTCGGCCCAACGGCTCCACTGGGTAGCCAAAGAATTGGCCGTACTGGCTTTATGGTTTGGTTTGGCCGCTGAAAGACACGATAACGTATGCTTTGTTTCATTTCATGCATATGTTGTGCACACTCGGTTTCCCAACCGTCATAACAGAGGGGGCTTGTGGGAGAGCGGATGACCACGTTCTGTTGCAAGCTGCCAAGAGTTTCTTTAATTTCATCCACATTTCAGGAATCAGGAATCAGGAAACATTTATTAGCCAAAATATGTCAAACATACAAGGAATTTGTCTTGGCGGTTAGTGCAAGTTTGGGAAGTACGCGTCTGTCTTTTTACAATTTCATTTTGCGTCCACTCTCAGAAGCCCCTGACCTGAAACAGGAGGAGCGTCTGCAGGAGCTGGAGAGCTGCTCCGGGGTCGGAAGTACCTCCGATGACACAGAGGTCCGAGAGGTCAGCTCGAGACCTAGCACACCAGGCCTCAGTGTTGTCTCAGGTATAAATCTAGTCTCCACCCTTCCCCATCTCTTTTTTTTTTTCTTTCTCTGGATGGCTCTGGTTATTGGTAGTTGTCTTTTTTCCCTGAGCTCAGGTGGAGAGCGCTCGGTTGACACGCATGAAGTAGTATCCTAGATTAGGAAGCCAGCAGTGATGTTTGTGGCTCAGCTCACAGGAAAAAATCCCACGGGATCTGGCCAATGAATAGTCTGCATCCGAACATCACTCTTCTCCGTGTCTTTCCCCTTACCCATGGGAGCTTACGCCATCAATTTGGAGTTCCCAGTGGGTTCCCATCTGAGAGATGGCATATTGTACAGTAAAGAGAAAAATATCCTCTTTTGTTTGAGAAACATTGAACAGGCACGTTCGTTTTTTTCCAAGGATTTTACTGTACTAAAAATATATACACAATATATATAGATGTTTTTTGTGGTGTTTCTTGATCAGGCATCAGTGCAACCTCTGAAGATATTCCCAACAAAACCGAGGACCTGCGGTCAGAATGCAGCTCAGACTTTGGAGGGAAGGACTCTGTGACCAGTCCAGATGGGGAGGAGTCAAGCCACGGTAGGAGAGTGTCACACCCCACTAGGCCAGCAAATCAGTTCAGTGTCCATCTGATCCAAGCATCATCAGCCAGAGCTATCAATCCCTGTCACTTGGACAGATGCCACCAACAACCTACAACCTCTGTTTATCATAGAAGTTAGTTAGACATTCTTTGTTAACCTGACTGGGGAATTAAATAAATGTACAGTACATTTGTATATTAGTGGTTCATTTAGCAAATGCTCTTAATTGTCTCTTATGTTCTTGTGTTTTTACAGGCGCACACCATCTGACATCTCCCCCGTCACAGACAGATTCCTTGCTGGCCATGTTTGATCCTCTCTCCTCCGCTGAAGGTAATTTTCACTCTCAAAATGCTCCACAGCCATTCAGAGCCAGACATGAGTATCACTCTTTCCCTACCCGACTGCTCACCAAACCGCTTGAGTTCTGTGGAATTAACCAAAAGAATAACTCTGCCCCCTCAAACAAAATGACCAATTGGTGGTCCCATTATGAGTGCAAATTAAATGCCATTAAATTTGGCCCATTTAGCATCCCAAATTATTCTCCGCGGTCCCTGTTACGGTGCATTTTGTTTGTAGTGCAGGTGGAAATAGTGTGCCATAGGAATGGTCGTGGCTTTGCGTCTGTGGCAAGGTGAAGTCATGACAGGTTGAGTGACCTCACCCCAGGCTCTTTGGCACTGTCCCCCTCGTCCCACTGTGCTCATGGCAAGAGGCTGTCGTTGGAAGCTTTTCAGGAGAGCGAGTCTACCCTTGGAACAGGTGGCCCACCTATACCTAGGGCTCCTCTCCCACTAACATCTCTGTTTACCACTCTCTCTGTCTTTTAACCAGTTTTATAGTCTTCAGCCACTATTCTGAAACAAAGTGAGACTCCGTTGTACAGAACAACAACCCTCTCAGTGATCCTAGCTGTAGAATTAGTTTGCTTAAGGATATAAAAACGGGTAAATACAAATATCAACTCTGGGAAGTCTTTGTGGAGTTTGTTCTGCGAGCTGGGAACTAATGCAAATATAAAAAGTGCACTAGAATACTGAAATCCATCTCCTGTGTTATGAACTCAGGCTCCTCAACTGGGACAATAGTAAGGCCCAAAGTGCACTACGCCAGGCCCCCTCACCCTCCCCCGGACCCCCCCATCCCTGAGGCCAGTGCCCTGGGGCCGGACACGCGTCACTCTCTCTTCATGCCCCACTGCCTGGTCCAGGCTGAGCTGGAACACACCAAGCAGCGCCACTCCTTCCCGGACAGGCTGGTCCGTAGCCGCAGCTCCGACATCATGTGCCCGAGCCGCCGGCCCACGAGTGACCCCGGTCTTAACCGGCGGGTCGCGGTTGAAGAGCGCGACCCTGCCGGGGCCTTCGCCTTAGGACCGTCCTCGTCCCCGAGCAAGGACTCGCTGAAAGGAGAGGTAACCAGTTAAAGAGGCACCGTTATTGGAGGACAGTCGTGTTCTTATCAATGCTGTTTTCAATGAATCAAATGATTTTGTCTGTAGTTTTTGCTGTTTGTGATGGTTGCCGTCTATTGTCTGAGTGCACCTTCATCATTTCTATCCAAAGCCTGAAGACCGAAAAGACAGTGATGACGAGAAGTCTGATCGCAACAGGCCATGGTGGAAGAAGCGTTTTGTGTCAGCCATTCCCAAAGGTGAGGTAACACAACATGTGGTCCTTTTTAAGCATGCCCACTTTTATACAGTCAAAAGCGATCGGTGTGATTTCAGGTCTTTAATCTTTTAATCACAACGGATGGGAAATATCACACTTTAAAGAGCAGAGCAAAAACCAATTGATAATGTGAGAAAGAGAATGATCCATAATGTCCACTCCATTGCTAATGCCCCAATTCCAACATCATGTTTATTGTTGTTTGAAGTTACCTCAGAGACGTGGTGTCCAGTCCCTTTTCACGTCTCGCTGGCTGTAGATTAATATAGACTTTTCAGAGCTAATCCGTCATCTGAGGAGCTTTAGCTGTGTAGATTGTACGGCTGTACCCCTCCCAGCAGTGCTGTCAGCCCGCGGCTAATGGTCATTAGATGGACCTCTCTGTCATCAGTGCTGATAGATGACACATCTCTTGTTGCCGTTCTACTCTATAACCGTCTCTCATACATCTGTGAGTAACAATGAGCTGTGCGCACACACACGATGGCTGTTTTTACTCTTGAAGTAAACGTTGAATTGATATTCATAAACTTGAGGACTGTTCAGAGTCGTGATTCCTAAACCGCTAATCTCCAGCCTAGCCTCGTCGTAGAGTCGTCCATTGTGTTGTCCCGTTGCTCTGCATGGTGACGCGCGGTCAGTTGTCCAGCAGAGCGCCAGCCCGTGTGTGAAAGGCCAACCCTGTCTGTTGTGTTCCTCACAGTGCTGTATTGGACGGCTGAGAGTGATGTCCCAGGTAACGCTTCCACGCTGTCATCCTTGAGCTAGCTTTACTGCTGGAGCCGGCGGCTGCGTACCCATGCTGCTTTGTAGATGAGCTGTGATGTGACATGGTTGTAGCCTGAGTTCACACACCTCATTCCTGCATTCGTTTTATCACCCCCATTTCTTTTTTTTGAATGTCACCATTTTACTGTATGGAGAATTCAGAATATCAATGTAGATACTCCGCCCGTGTCTCCCAGTGTGTGGATGTGTGTTTGTGTGTGTCATCAAATTGTAGAACCTAGAACCTTGTTGGCCTATGTACATCTGTATCGACTGGACTCCTTATGATGACTTACATTGGACCTTTGTGATATTCTGCTATGAAATAATGGTTTAATTTACCATTTCAATATTATTTTGCTTTGATGTTTAAGTTCTCCACTAGACTTTTTCTGGTAATGTATGACACCGCACATCCTATATTGAGATGTAGGATGTGTTCAGTCTCAATACAAACCATGAAAAATACTAAATATTGGCCAGAGTGGCTGTACGCAGGCAACTCATGACCAGCTTGTCATCCGACAATACTGGGAAGTGGTGTCAACTCACTAATCACATGTCCGTCTTCTATAGCTCCCATAGCTGCATTTCGGAAGAGGGACAAGCATGAGAAAGACGACGTTGCCCCAGAGCGTGTCCCACAAGGTCTGTCCTGCTTTGGTTCAACCACATTCCTGATGGAGGACCAAACAAAGACATCTGTTATGGTTGTTTTTGTGTGAATGCATCTTTTGTGTGTGTTTCCAGATGACTCGCTGCCCAGACAGAGCTCTCATGCTCAGGCAGCTGAGGACATTCTGGACAAGTACAGAAACATCAAGAGGACCAGCCCGAGTGATGGAGCCACCGGTGGAGCTTCTTATGATGGTACAGGAGGTCAGGAAATGCACTTTTAAATATTTTTATTTATATACAGTAGATGAATGTGAGGGTGTGTTTGCACACCTTTGGCTGATACTTTATAACATATTTATACTACACACTGTCTACCTGCACACAGTATGTTAAATAAATTGGTTCTTTTTTTCATTTTTTTTCAGATCCTTGTGTTGAGGACAGCGTCCATGACTCTCCTAGAGAAGAGACTCACATTTCAGCTGATGACCTTCCAGACTCAGCCAGCCAGACAGCACAGCAGCACGACTCCAAGTTCTCTTTCAGGTCAGAATACCAGAAAACGCAATTCACAACCATTCAGTCCAAAATGTCTAGTTTACTTCAGATATTCTTAGCCGTTGCTGTTAATTGTGTGTTTGTGTGTGTCTTCCAGTGATGCAAAGAAGAAGTTGAGGTTGGCATTGTGTTCCGCCGACTCCGTGGCTCTGCCCATCATGGCTTCTGTAACCACACGAAATGGGCTGCCTGACCACATGGACTGTGAAGGTAGACCTTCTTTCATCTATGCTAGATCCATCCTGTAGGTGTGGTGCTGTAGGGACTAATAACTGATGATGGCATACAATCGATTTAACGCATACTATGAGTCAAATATTATTTATTTAGAGCTGTTAAAGATGGTTCTATCTACTGGACTACTGTCAAATCCAGCTTTTTACACCGCAATTCTGCAGCACACCTCTTCCACATGCAGGAGCAGGCAAAATGAAGTGACACCCTGCGAGATGCTCAACAGTAAAACCATAAGGCTCCATCTTTGTGGCCATCAGTCATATTGTCATGTAGAGGCAGCAGGTTGATCAGATTACGGCAGGCAGCCGTTCCTTTGTGAGTGGCGAGCAGCGTCGTCTAATGCCGTCTCCCTATCGTACTCTCTCGCTCTCTCTCGCAGACAATGAGATCGTCTGCTTCCTGAAGATCCAGCTAGCAGAGGCCATCAACCTTCAGGATAAGAACCAGATGGCCCAGATCCAGGAGACAACGCGTTGTGTCACCCGCTTCGACGCACGTACCTGCAGGAAGCTGCTGGCTGCCATCGCGGAGGATTACAGGTGACTGGAGAGTCCACTGTGGCAACTCATGGGTTTTGCAATTGATCTTTTTTTTTTTTTTGTTTCATTTACTACGTCATGTTTATGTTACAAATACAAAGAATACAAATTTCTGTGTGCTTCCTTTTTAGGAAGCGGGCCCCATACATCGCTTATCTGACCAGGTGTCGTCAGGGCCTGCAGACCTCTCAGGCCCACCTCGAGAGGCTCCTGCAGAGGGTGCTGAGAGACAAGGAGGTGGCCAACCGCTATTTCACCACCGTGTGCGTTCGGCTCCTTCTTGAACACATGGAGTGCAAGACGCTTGATTTCATTAAAGGTATCTCCACATTTTCATGTTGAGTGAAACTAAACATGAGCATATGGAGTTATGAATTTGAGCTGGCAGATACTAGAGCAAATGTATTTTTTATTTTTTTTACCATTCCTCAAACTACAACTAAACGGGCGAGCTGGTGACCCTTACAGGATATTTAAATATATGGGCAGTCCATCCCCCAAACTCTGAAGTTTGAGATTTTTAAGATTTACAATGTAATTACAGCTATTATCAAATGATTCTCCACTTAGGAAAGACCTTTTTTTTTTTTTTTTTTTTTTAAGGTAGATTCCAATCATCACACCATATATTTCGATGTCTTTGATAGGCCTATACGCATTCCTTCCAAACTCACTCAAGACAATCCACAGTAGACTGCAGCTACGTCCCGGGCTGCTGTTACATCTGTTGTTTCTCCCCTCCAGCGTTCCAGGGGTGCACAGCATCGGATGATAAGACGGCAGCAGTGGAGGATTTCCTGCGCTACTTATACGGTGCCATGGCCCGTGATGCCATTTGGCAGTATGCTAGCGAGGACCAGCTGCAGGATGCCCAGATGGCTATTGAGCGCAGCGTTATGAACCGCATCTTCAAACTGGCTTTCTACCCCAACCTGGATGGAGATATTCTCCGAGACCAGTGAGTAGCGGCGATGGCACCAGTACCAAAGACTAAGCAGTACTCCAGATCATTTGTTATTTTAGGAAGATTTAAAACTAAAATATTATCATAAAAACGCAACAAAAATATATTTTTGGTCAGGCCCATTTCGCTGAGCAAAAGCGTATCGTAACGGCAATTTACGTTTAGTGACATTTGAAAAGCTTAATATTTTGATTGATATGTTTGATTGATATTGTTCTCTGATTAGTTGTTTTGTTTCACGCAGGCTTTTCCATGAACATATCCAACGGCTTACAAAAGTCGTGACGGCCAATCATAAAGCTCTTCAAATCCCAGAGGTATTGTCTTGGATCACTTCTATTCATGTTTGGAGAAAAAATAACTTGTTATTTATCGCGTTGTTTCCTCCCAATTTGTGCTTCCAGGTTTATCTGAAGGAGGCTCCCTGGCCCTCTGCACAGTCTGAGATCAGGACCATCAATGCATACAAGACGCCACGAGACAAAGTCCAGTGTATACTGCGCATGTGTTCCACCATCATGAACCTCCTCAGTCTGGCCAATGAGGACTCCGTCCCTGGAGCGGATGACTTTGTCCCTGTGCTCGTCTTTGTCCTCATACGGGTACGTGTGTTACTGCCACATGCTTTGCTTAGAGAAGCAGCTCAGTTGATCACATATTGACTGATTTTTGGAAATGTGAAATAAGAATAATAGCGAAGGATTGCATTGTAAATCCATGCATCATAAAGACTGCTGTCTGCTAACCTGTGCGGATGTACTTTTGCATATTTACATATTTATGATTGTAAACCGCGCGGCGTTGCGTGAGGTTCTCTCAGCGGCTAATGTGGGCCCATCCCATCTTCTCCTCCCCTCCAGGCAAACCCGCCCTGCCTGCTGTCCACCGTTCAGTACATCAATAATTTCTATGCCAGCCGGCTGAGTGGGGAGGAGTGCTATTGGTGGATGCAGTTCACCGCGGCTTTGGAATTCATTAAGACCATCGACGATCGCAAGTGAAGCAGAACAGCCACCTGTATGGGCAGACTGCGGGGGAAGGAGCCGGGAGACTTGGAGACTTCCCAAGCAACTGCTCCCTCTGCACAGCTTCTAAAACCTGGCCCTCAGCCTGCTCTTTATTTGTATAGCTTGTACATAGCCAGAGACGTTGAAAGAGTACAAAATATATATTACTGTATGTATGTGGACAAATCCAGGTTTTAGCCGTGCTAAAAAATTGGCAAGATGATAACTCTGAACCTGATTTGGATTTTTTTTTTTTTTCTCTCTTTAATCTTGTTTCACGTTTGGGGTCTGTATTAGGAATTTTATAAATATACAATTACCAACATGATATTAAATAACTCTAAAAGATAATCCTGATATAAAGGGACCAGACTTCCTTGATGTGATCACTGATCATTTTACCCCCCCCCCCCCAGTGAGAGGGAAGGACTTCCAATTAAATTACAATATATTGTTCATTAAAACCATTGTAACGCAGGGACCGACGGTGCGTGGTAGTTACTGATGGGGTTTAGCGACTCGTAAAAACTGAAATCAATTCACAATAATACTACTCACAAGCTAAGTGTATCAAAGAAATAGGGCAGCTTTTTCAATGGATTGTTTACTTCATCTTATTTCCTGAAAACAAATGGCAATTTCGACATAAGGGCCCATATATTTATATGAAATAAAATGTATTTATTTCCGTAATTCTATTTAATGCTTTTTCTTTTTCTTTTTTTCTTTTTTTTTTTAAAATACATTTTTCTTTTTTTAAATGCATATCATGCCCGTTAAAGATGTCTGTGGCAAGAGGGGTAATTATAAGAAACTTGACAGAAGTTGAGTTAGGGAGGCACCCTAGCAATGACTACGCTGGGGATTAATGATACAGGGTCAACGCATTCAGAGTAGTGGTGGAAATATTGGAAATTGTGCCTTTTGATGTGGGCCGCTCTGTACCGGTAGTTATTTTAAGCATTGTCCCCTTCCACCCTCCTCGCAGACACAAAGAAGCACACATTTACACACACGCCAATGAGCTAACCACGTCACTGATAGTCATTGCTTAGTCCCTTTAAGGCTCCTGAATCTGAACCAACATCCCCTCGGTGTTCTGGATCCTTCCTCAGTTGAAGCCCACGAGCCGGATTATGACTCGTCTGTACTGGTGGTCAACAGAGCATACCGGATCATTTTTGCAGTGGTAACAAAATATTAAGGGAGGAAAAGTTGTATACTGATCGTCTGTGACGTCAGTGTTCATATCACCCTCAACCTACACAAGCCTTTGTTTGCAAATAAATAGTTTCTGATATCGAACCTTAGAGCCAACGTTTGATATGGGCAGACTATTGGATATTGCCTCTCTACCTCTTAAGTTCAGAGCAGGGACTCGTGCTTTTGTGCACTTCTATTTCTGTTCTTTTTTTCTCCCCAATTTGGCGTGCTGTGTTATCCCATTGTCATTGTATAGTACATAGCATGTCTTCACTTATCCAGAAACGACTAAAGCCCCTCTCTCTCAAAACCCTCTGCTTCACTTTTGAGACGTGCCACATGTATTATAGGTTTGAATGATCCTCTACTTTTCAAGTTAATTGACCTGACAGCACAATACACAGTAGGATAGAAGAGCAAATGATCAATGCTGATGACTTAATACTGATTTGTTTTCCCCCTTTTCTTCAGTTTATGCTAAAGGTTGCTGGTTGTGTATGTGAGTGCGTGTGAGATGATCATCTGATTGTTTGACCCTCTGCCTCCTCTCGCATGAAGTTATTGAATGGGCTGTACATTCTCGATCACGATAAACCGTAGAACAGCGTCTGCCTCAGGCCAGTAATTGAACCTGCAAGAAGATGCAAAGCTTCTATTTGTGTCTGTGATACTTCAAATTAATTAAAATTTGATTAATTTTGCACAAAACAGATGTTTGGCTGAAAGAAATTGACAGGGAGCAGTGCATTTTTAAATGCCATTACCTCTGGCCTTTACAGTCATTTAACAAAGATATCTGGGTTAGAATATATTTTGAGTAGCAGAGTTAATATCATATTTCAAGCATTTATCAGCAACATCACAAGTGTATTTTTTACATCAGTCTTACAGCAGCACATACACCAGAGTTGTACGCGCTTCCTACGAGTCTCTGTAATCTATTTGATGAGCAAACCATGCACTGGAAAATCAAGTTGCAGGTTGCATCCATACTAATTAGGTTTATGTGATGTCACTTTAATTGGAAATACATATTGCACAAATCTGATGAAATTATTTGGACCTGGCTTAAGTTTCAGCGTTTCCCTCAGACAGCCGATGGCAGCGGCTACGGATCCAAACGCCCCATTAGTTACACAAATATGCACATGGTTGTGATGGCAACTGTAATTTTAGCTCTGATTGTATGCAAGCCACTGGGCAGTAGTGTCAAGTGCACAGACTAAACCGTTGCTCTGTTCCTCAAAGATTTGCTGCTCTGCTCCCTGTGCAATTCAGTTAAAAAGCAGATGAGACAGAAAAAAAACGGTTTTACATCTCACGTCTAAATTTACGTTTAATTGTAAGCTTGCACAAATCTGACATGCGGGGAAAGCCGCTTTGTCTTTACTGTGAATAATGCATTATGTAATTCTTTAAAAACAATAAAAGAATCAGATGTTTTTTTCGTTTTTAAATGATTTCTCTGTGTCTCCTGCGATACATTTCCGCTGCTTGGCGGCGATGTCGCACCTATTGTACACAACGGTGCTTAGTTATTCTCCGGCTTCTTGGGACAGTTGTAGGTGTATCTGGCTGACAGGTCACACAATAGAAGAGATGGTAGGGAAATTTATGCGTGGGATATAATTGTAAGTGGGGGCAGTGGAGCAGCATCATCCAATCTAGCAGCCACAAATAGCGGCCCCTCAGAAAACATTTCATTACAGCTGACAAGTGTACGGCGGATTGTAATTGGAGATATCCCCTCATCCAAAGGCCCTTTACCGTTTGCCTTCTTTAATACTCATCTTTTTTCATCATAGACTTCTTCGCAGGGTGCTTTGTGTCCCCTGATGATATCACACAATTGTTAATTTAAATTCTAATTTTGGTGTGTGAGTTAATTAGTCGCATAAGCCAATGAGCTAGATGGGCCAGATTTGGAGATATGATATTTTGACTAGGTGGCACTTAGCTGATTTGAGATACAAGGAGCCGTTTTGTCTCGTGCTGCTCCTGGTATGAATGGCTGATGCTCTTTCCTCAGCAGTGAACTAGAACATACATGCATACATCACATGGTGCAAACTACTTCCAAAGTTGACACGGTATAAACCGAGATTCTTTGTTTTCTACAGGTGTCAGATGGATCAAGTGGGAAAGACTCATCTGAGTTGTATGTTGATGTCATACTGTTGCTTCCCAGACATCAATAGGCCTGAGGTCTCACCCAGATGGCTGTGGAATGACAGATGATCAGTCCAGCAGCGCTCGTGCATGACTTTGCACGTTGGAATGTGTAATATTTGGCTTTAGAGGAACAGTGGAAAAAGTCCTAACCCCGTACCGTCAAATTAAAATGGGAAATAATTATAACAGAAATTGCAATTTTCACCATTTTAGCGCATTACACTAGTAAAATTGGGGTGGTGACATATCTCTAAAGATATGTCAAAATTGTACTGATCCAAAAGTGAAAAGGGTAAAAATAATCTGTTATTAAAAATACACCATTGTACCACAGACCAGAATAATCGCCATATTACACTAACTGGAATATAATATTAATATTTGTATTCCAAGGTACATAATGTATGTAAAGCAGGATGCAATGTTTGGATGCACCACATAGGAGCACGCAGGTGCAGCAAGAACAGCCAACAGCAGCAGCACTGTTACTCTCAGTGAAACATACCTGCTACTTGGCCGCTGTACAAGTGTGTGTGTGCTTCACCCTCGGTTCCCTGCAGATGGCAGACGTACCATTCCCCTCGACGCGCTGCAGATCCGACCTGAGAGCAGCTCAGACAAAGAACAGCGCGGGGCACGACGCCTTGAAAACTAAAAACCAGTGGCACTCGCTGTCTGGGACTGCATCTGCATTGTGAAAAATGGTGAAATTATAAAATAACGGCATTATTATCATCTGTCCTTTTATTTATTTTTTCAGTGGGAGGGACGCATAACACCGAAAATCAAATACAGGGATATTTGAGGCTATTACTTTTTATTACTTAGCTCACAAGAATAGTCTGTTGACTGCGTGACATTTCATGTGATGTGAAAAGAGTCCTCCTCCCTCCCATTGTGTGCAAATAATGCATGGTACTGTTCCATAACTACATATCTCATCAGGACTCCTCCGTTGTTGTCTTCACAAAGGACAGAATAAACAACAGAAGGCAGCAGGGCGTCAATTGAATTAATTGTGGCGAGGAGGAGGGGAATAAATGAACAAAAAAATGTCAAATACACGTATGAAAACTTAAATGAAAAAGCCTCGAGGATGCAGGCAGAGCAAGGAGATTAAAACTCAAAGGGATACCAAGTATCTGCACCCCGGGGTGGTGAAAGTGAGCTCCTTTTTCTGTGGTATTTGCAACCTAAACTACAAAGACAAACAAGATTTGTGTCTTGTAACAAAATAAAACAAATATCTCTGGTTAATTAGAAGGTTGCTACAGAGAATCAACAATAAAACGTGGAAATATAGGCTACAGCAACAGACATAGCATTACTCCAATGGACACATGCATAGATCTCGGTATCCCTTTGCACTTTTATTGTGGCACCTAACCCACTGGGTTCAGTCTAAAATAGCAGTAATAAATAGCATTTTCCATCATGTTTCCCTTTACTGCTCCCCACATAGGATATCAATTAAGCAAAGGTGTCCGTTGCAATGGTCCTTCTGAGGCGGCCACTCCTTCCTTATATCGTTCCTTATATCATTAGAAAAAGAACAATTTTCCCAGGCACGGCTAATCACCTGTGAGAGGAGGAGTGGGTGGTGACATCAAATTGAACCGTGGAAATAGAACAGGAATTAGATGCACTTAGCCATCACATGTTAATGGCAGCAATCAACAGCCAATTACCCAGCGTACTTGAGTACCTTGACAAGTGCAGGTGTACCCTACAACTAACACGGGCCTCTTTAAAGCATTTCCATAAATTCGACAGTAAACTCCCACCGTGATTGAGCGTGCGCGTTTCATTGAGGTTGCAATTAAGCAATATTGTTAGGGCTGTGTCAGGCGAGGATCACAAGAAGAAATAAGAACCCCTTAAGGGCAGCAATAACATATTTCACCCGGATGCATGTAAATCAATAAAGGTATTTGTTTATATTAAAATGACCTTTGTTATTGCCTTGAGAAATGTTCATATTGCTTACACGCTTTTGTTGGTTTTAAACATTTCTAAATCAATGGTTAGAAACGTGTTGGCAGGCAACAGCACAGTGGTGCTGATGCTGACCATCTCTGTCACCGGGGGGGGGGGGGGTGGAGCTCTGACTGCTGGCCTGACAAGGAAACACACACACACACACACGTACACTATGAATACACACTGTGAGCCCAAAGTCCCGGCATGACCCACTATGATTATTCTGTGCCGAGCAACAGGTGATGGGCTTTCCTGGATGTCATCCGTGTCTTGGCCTCTGTTCAGAGCCAGCGTTCAGGACCCAGGCAGAGCTCGTTGGAGACGTGCCCGATGTACAAGTGAGCCGTCCTATCATTGACATCAAGTGAGCCGAAGATGTCACGTCTTCATCTTGTGAGAGTTCAATCCCCTTTTTGGGGATAGAGAGAGAATTATACATTTTTTTTTGGAATGTGTTACCACTGGAATACCGACACGCTCAATGACGGACGCTTTATCAGGAAGCGATAAACAAACACCAACGTGTGTGCGCGTCCTCTGTATCCTAGACCAATGGATTTTTAAAAAAACATATCCCCTTATAAAAACTTGTAAGTGTATGTTGTTTGTCCAAGCACAGGTGTGTATTTCGGGATGTATTCAGGCTACAGTCCATCTGGTGGACAGTACTGCATGCTGCAGCGGTGGCGAGCTCTGGTCTCAGCAGCTGGTAGACAGACTCCACACTGGGGAGGTGGGCAGGACAAAGGACTGAGCATGTGTGCAAGGGATGCTAATTAAAAAATAAAATATGATCCATTCTGATTTTGAAATTGTAATTGTAAACTTTCGGCTACTCTTGCACAGATACGCCAAACATATGCACATTTAATTCATTTCTGTTGTTGTAGATCAATGGCCTTGGAAAGATAATAGACAAGACAACTGACTAATAGCACAACTTCACATGACGCAAACATATTTAGTAATATTTGATACAATGCAATAAGACCACTGACAGCCCATTAGCTTTTAAGAATGACCTTTCCTTCCTCTTTCTCTTTGGTTTGCCCTCCAGCTGCTTGACTTGTTCTACTTGACTCCTGAACCGTTTTAATATCAGGCTGCCACGGGTTTCCTTCTTGTAAGCCAGCTTCTTCGTAGTTCTGTTTCTGCTCTAGCAGAACAAGAGATAAAACGGTTGTTGCTTTACTCTACCGGTGTATATTTATAGTGTTAGTGACCTGGTTAGTGGTCCTTTTAACCACGAGGAGAGTTTGCACAAATGTGGAGGAAATATTTTGGATTCTTATGACTTGAAAACAAAAGTCACACCTTTGTCCTCGTCCAACTTTTCACAAAATACTAAAAATATAGATTTTCTAATTAAAATGTATTCATTCATTAAACTGTGTTTAGTGTACTGGTTCTTTAGATTTATTTTTAGTGTGGCACAAATTGCAAAGATATGCAGTTTTTGCATTGAAATTAAACCATAAAATGAATTTCATCGCCGTGCAATGTTACAAAAATCAAAGAATCAATATAATTCAACCCGCCAGTTTAGTTCAATTAACAGTTCACGTTAATCACTTTCGAAGTGACGTCAATAAAGCAGCCCAATGTGTTGTCAGGTGCCGGCGTCACTGGCAGCGAGGGTGTGTGTGCCTGTTCTCTTGAATGCACGCAGAGTCTGAGTGCTTCTGCATGTTAAATCTGACCCAACTTTTTCTTTATGACAAATGGACTCTATAAAAGATGCACCCCGTCTCGCTGCAGCAAACCTCTTAAGCTGCGTCTTTCTGTCGGTGGCACTCCATTGCTTACTCACAGAGGAGTCCACAATGCTATGTATTAATTAAGGTTTCAGAGACAATAATGGGGACGATAAAGACAGTCCTCCCTCTTTTGTCCCCCGCGTTCTGCCGCGAGACGACATTAGGACGTATTTGAGAGCAGATAGGGGAGGAGGAGGGGACGGAGCAGAGATAGAGCTCCTTCTCTCCGGAATGTAATCTCCCTGATGTTACACGGTGGAGCCTAAACTGATAAATTGCAGATTAAATGGCGGCCACACTCCACTTCACCCTGCAGCCTACACCACACCCCCCCCTTAGTTCCACACATTTTGCTATTCACCGCCTTCTTGGCCTGTCAATTCTGCCTAATCGTGAGAGGCACTAAAACACCAGGTCTTGACAGAACCAGATCAAGAATGATGAACATCTCTCAATGGCAAAAGACTCGTGCTCCTAACTCTACTAGAAGGCTCGCATCACTTATGCAGAAATCAGCGGCGTGCCAGCATCCAG